ATCGAAAAACGAATAAATTTCAAATAATGTGGCTTTGATTGACCGATAACATTTTACACAAGAAGGATTCAGTCCGAATCTTTTGGTCGCTTTATTACAATACATATTCAAAATTTCATTAAATCGACAACTTTAAAAATAGATCGCCAATTTTGAACACATCTCCGTCTCTGTAAGTCACACCGAACATTTTCACATCGAACTATGAATATTTACTGTTCGGCCACATTTTCATGTCATAAAAATGTTGGCATGGAAATTCCGCTTTTGTTTGTCACATAAATTGTGATGAATATCATTGGATTTTTCCGTGTGAATGAATGTAACAACGTTTTTCATTTGCATGTTATCACAATTGCGCGTATTAGCCGAAAAACTTGTTTTCAACTAGTTTTATTTTGCTCGAATTACTTAATTTGTATACCAAATGACATTGCAGACATTTCAAAATATCACACACTTATGTCTGCAACTTGTCTTTCTCGGCATCTCGGAAATGAAAACTCATGTTTAGATGGCATTTTTTATGAGTTTTTTTTTTCAGTTTCAGTAGCTAGTCTATTTGTAATTTTTCGATATTATAATTGGCGCTTTTTCACTGCCGATTTTTTAATTGTTGTACAACCATTGTATGGAAAATACTCATGAATTTTCTAAATTGCGCGTTTTTTTTTTAAATGAACGCAATTATTGAATTCTTATCAATCTACAACGAGACTAATGTAAAGAAGGAATTTTATTTTGATATCCAATTAAAATCGAATAAATTAATCGATTGAACAAAAAAAAAATGCGAATAATTTTGATTATTTTGGTTTTATACCGGTTAAAAATAGAAGATATTGCATATTCTCTATGTTAAGTAGTGAATGTCTTGAATCGTTTTTAAATTAAGCTTTTAAGAATATTACGATTTAATTTTCAGACCTCAAAATCATGAAATGCGGCAAGTAATGTTGAACTTTATGTATTGCACGCGAATAATGCAAAAAAGTCAATGTCTAAATCATGAATCCAAGTCGTCTACACTGGCTGGAAATCTCCATCAGCAATCTAATTCAAGTTTTGTTATCACAAATCTTGTGTTAAAATGTCATGTGATAATAAAATGGCGATTAAATGAAATCACATCTAATTCAATGAATGTTCAAATGACTCGTTTCCATAAATCTCTATCTTTCCGTCTGTCTGCCCCCTGCCCCTCTCTTACTTTGTTTCGATTTGATTTGCAATTCATAGTTGATATCCATGAATTTTGTAAATTATTTTATTTTGTGTTCAATTTTTATACAATTGTATTGAGAACCTAATCACGAATTATAAAATCGAACGCAATGCAATCGATTGATAATAATCGGTTGCAAATAAAACAAACGTATAACGAAAAAAAAAATTATATGCGAAAATGCAAACTACATTCATTAAATTGATGATTATCTATGGTTGTTGATAGGGCAATTTAAAATCGTAAAACAACAAAAACGAAAATAAAATCATTGCACGAGAGAAAGATTCGCTTAATTTGTAATATAGAAGTAGGTATACATTTTATTATGCAAATGACACGTTGAAAATGTTGTTTGTGTGGAAGAGATGAGAGAGGGGTAATTTAACGCGACTCACAATTTGAATGTCGACAGCAAAATTGAGGTAAATATTTGCTATCGTCTAGATTTTATTAGAAAAGATCGTTGTTTTTTTGTGTGTCATCGATTTGAATTTTGAAATATATGGTTTTGAGGTGGACATTTTATTTTATTTTTTAATGTCATGTCTGTCTTGTATATGATCTGGTTTGAATATCGATGTGTCTTAAGTGGAGATAATCGAAAGTGTTTCGTGTCGTTAAACGACATGACATTCGCATTGATTGAGTGACAATTTCGGAGGAGTTGTTTGCAATGCTAATTACAATCATGTTTATATTCGATTCTTCTCTTTTGCAATGTTTTAACATATTCAATTTTGTTTGGCGATTTTTTTGTTTCGTTTGTAAAACGTTTATTGGTTTGATTGTGTTGAGAGTTATCAAACGAGTTTTCGTGTATGCTGCTGCTGCGTTTTTTTTCTTCATATGTTTAAGTTATTGTATCGTCAAATGTTTTCGCAATATCAAATTGTCGCTGGTTTTAAGCATTTTTTTTATTCAATGTTCAAGGCAAATGACTAAATAGAATATAATGATTTCAGTGTTATTGCTGTGCTATACCTCGAATGAAAAAAAAAATGTACGCATTCGAATGATTCTCGCGGCTAGTAAGTGAATGCATCACGCATTCCATGTTTAGACCTGTTGCTCATTTGATGCACGCACCAATCGAAAAATTTATTAGCAAAAACCTATTCGCTAGCGATTTGTAGCGAAAATTTATTCGAAACATGCACGCATGTCATTCGATGGTCACTCTCGGACCGGCACATGCTCATGTATGCTTTTTTTTAAATTTTGAATGCATCGTCGGCCGAGAGCATTTCGCAACGGCATTCATTTTTGTTTTTGGTTCGTTCAATTTCAATTCCAATTTATAAATCGCCTCCGTAACAATTGTAATTATTATATTTGGTTAAATCGAGTGGTTCTAATTGAGACTGCGGCAATTGCCAGCAACGATTTTAATCTACAATTAATTCAATTTTTGTTTATATATTTCGTTTCGAATGGACATGGAGCAAGCATCGTGAGCAACTAATTATGTGCTATGTCGAAATGATGTATGCGAATGAGTGCAAGTGCAATGTTCATCGCACGCACACAAACACACATTAACCATTGGACAAATGAAAAAAAACAACAACCAAAGCTCAAGAGCCGTGCTCGCACGACCGTACAATGAACCAAATGACGACAACAACAAAATATAAACCATTTAACATCAATTAAAGTCGATGTATTTTTCTTAGCATTAAAGTGATCGAGATGAACAAACATACACCGTCCGAAAACAAAACAATGAAAGTGACAGCGACAGATATGGTTTGCTTTACGATTTAAACCGAAAGAAAAACAACTGTAAAATCATTCATCGACTTTGTTTTTCCTCCTTTTTTAATAAATGAAAAATACTGTTGCGACTATAAAACTGTACGCATTCTCTCGCAGGCATTTATGAAGGAAATATTTTATTTTTATTTTGCTTTTGTAAACAGTTTGTCGTTATCAATGTGTTCTTTTTGCAAATCTTAATGACCAAACAATTAAATTTAAAGCTAAGTAGTACGTACATGTTTCGAATATATCCGCTAGATTGTAACATAATGAACTGAAACAAGAAATCAAGTCGCATTTGAGTGCGCGCGTTTAACTCGATTGTCATTGTTTCCGTGGCCATACTATATATCAAAAATCACATTGTGATCAGAGATACAAGCGCCGCATACCAATTCATTTATTTTGCTTCAGCATCGTGTTTTATTGCTTGAAATAAAGCGAAAAAAATATTGTTTTCTGTTTATTTCCGATTTCTTTTCGCCACATCGCTCGACGCAATCTTAATTCAAAAACAAAAATGAAACTTTTGGATTTTATCATGAAAACAGACACCGTATCTATTGGACAATGTCTAATGAATAAAAAGATCAATGGAAAGAAAAACTTTTGGCCTCATTTTCCTTGAAAGAATTTTCATTTTTCATTCCTTTCTGCCCAGAAACATCACAGTTAATTTTGTGAAATCACTGAAAAGGTCAAAGAAAATTGCTGTTTATAGTCTTATTTGACATACCAATTAAATGACTCATTGTATTCCTGTTCGACACTTATATTTCCAAGAAATTGTTTATTTTATTAATTTTAATTGGAACATACAAACTGATTATGTCGGTGAATTTTCCAAAAAAAAAAAGATTCAAGTGAATTGCGATCATACACACACACATCTCTCGTGTGCATTTTCTTATCGCTTTCATTCGAAATGTTTGCGACATTGATTAGATGAAGACTGAGATGCTTGTGCAACAATCAATATAGAATGTGTGCAACACAATAAAAAGGTTAAGCGAATAGGTCGATGTACGATGTCTATATACACGTGGCGTGGTGAATAAATTGAATGAATTATTAAGTATGGCGCAATTTGAACACAAATCAAGTGATGCTATTAATATGAATAATTGACAAAAAAAAAAGATTGACTTTGTAATACAAATGAGGTGTCGAAAATATTAAACTCTTCCTGGCGCACATTGTTTCCTCAAATGTACATTTTGCAAAAAAAAAAAATACTTGAACTTTGACTGTTTGGTGATCGTCGTTTTCTCCCTCTCTCATCACGTCGCGCACGGAATCAAATGCATGTGTGTGTGATGAAAATAGAAAAGTCATGCACTCTTTGCACAGAATAAAGGAAAAAAACAAAAACCTGCTATTCAGAATTTGTACAAAGTGTAGACACCACATTGTGTTTTAGTTTGTACTTTCAAATTACGAATGATGAACAAACAACCTCAACACAAAATATGTTTAATACTAAAAATCATGGATGAAAACGAATACGAATGACGGTGCGAGAGAGCTTAGAAAGAAAAAAAAAAGAGTTCCTAGTTTTTGTTTGTTTAATTGTGAAGCGTAAACAATATAATGTCAAGCTCGAGGTTAATTCTACGAGAAATTACATTTCTATTCGTTAAATTTTTGTGTGCGCTCATGATATCAGAGAGTCGACACTTTTGTTATGTGTCTCTATGTTGACAAAAGCTGTTGAGGCCAGTGTATGACCGTTTTTTGTTGAAGACATAACGAAAATAATTCGTGTCAAGCATTTCGCCGAAACAAACACTACATATTTCAATTTTGCGCGAATTTTTTTGTTGTTTTTGAAATGGAACACACATAAAATCAAGATTGATTCAAGGGGAATGAACATAAAAAAGATTTTAAATGATCTAAACTAGAATAATGATGCTAATTGTTTTAAATGGCAATACGCATACGCGTCACCGTCTACCGATGATTGCCAAGCGATTTTTTTTTCTTCGATTACTTTTTGATTTTAGGTACTTACACCATTTCAAGTATTTGTTCTTTTTGATCACCACTTCCATTTTTGTATTCCGTTTGGGGTTTCGATTGCTGCTGCTAAACTATTGCTTCTTATTGCACGAATTCCTTTCGTTTGATCTTTAAATCAGTGTTTGTATCTTTGTGTGAGAAATCAAATGTTTCTCACTAATTTCCAACAACTTTTTGCACTTACATTCACTGAAGCTTTAACTTGCTTTAACCACTTTTTTTTAATTCGATTCCAGAAAATATGATTATTTTATTACCGAGAATCAAGCGGTTCTTATAAAACGATTTAATCACTTTGACGATTCGCTTTTTTCTCAAAATGTCAATCGTTATTGATCTCTTGAGTCATATGATGATTTTAACTCGTTTATTTCTGTTTTTTTTTTCTTTTGTTCAATAATATATGTTTCGTCTCACAGAATTCACTTCTTTTTTTTCCAACTTCTGATTTATTATTCACTGGTCTTTTTTCGGGTTTTCCTCGTCTATGTCATATGCATATTTTTCAGCTAAATTGAAAAAAAGAGAAAAAAATGCTTTGTTAGAAAATAGAATGTTTTTTTTTCATTTACTTTGGCATCGATTTTACATAGACTATCGTTTCTATTTGAATAAATTCAACATTCATGTTGGATTTTTTTTGAACTGAAATGCGAACGGAATATATTTAATTCGAAGCACCAAAATGTAATACAAGCAGACACACAATGAGTTCAAACGCGAACAGAAATAACCACAATATGAAAACCGATCGTGACAGTCTTTCACTTTGATTCTAATGTGATTATAAAAAAATTGACTTTCTTGCTGGTTTCGACTTTGTGTATGGTCACATTTCATTTTCGACCGCGACATTCATTTAGCATATATATGTATAACTTGCTTACTGATTTGCAGATATGCCGAATAACAAGAGATTTTTTGAAAATGATTTACATCAACCGTTGCTTTCTTTGCTCATTGCCTCGTTTTAAATGTTCGCACGCGCATTTAAGAATGTTCACTAGCATCGTGGAAATGATTGTGTTGTTAACCAAAAAAAAAGAGTAAATAACATTCAGCCACAATTTTCTGACCATTTTTTTTTTGCTCCATTCTTTTTGGTGATAGTTTTGCGGGAAAAGAGATAAAGTTTCTGAGAGTGAAAAGAAAAATGTACAAAATTGAATTAAATCATTTCCATCTGGATTTCATTATTTCTTTTGTTGAAATTTTGTTTTTTAAATGGTCCATTTTCTATACGGTTTCATGGCATTGTGTTGAGAAGATCGCACTCGTGTATTCGTGTGTGAATTCAATCAAAATTGACAGTGTACAACCAACCATTCTATTATTTGGCCTACGATCACTTAGGTGAAAAAGTCAAGAGCTTCGCATTGTGAGTGCCTTTCAACTGGGTCTCTTTTGATGTCTTCACACTTGTCATTCAAATATGGGAACATTGTCATATATTTTTTGTTATGGTGCGGTTTCGATAAGAAATTGAATAGACACACTCACGATCGCTATGTGATTAAACAATTAATTTCCAAGTGAATGGAAATCATCGGTGTTCATTTTGCCAACAATGTTGTTTTTTTCATTATTTCTTCAATTCCATCGAATTGATGATGACTTATTTGTATGGGACAATCATTCATGGTTGTTTTGTTATTTCTTTATATTGTTATTATTTTTGAATCGGTTTTGCCCTCAAATTAAAGAGAGAGAAATAATGGTATAGTATCAAATTAAGCAGCAAACAATTTGTCGATATATATTGACCATCAATATAGCCTTAATACCGTTTAAAAAATGAGTGCAACTAAATGTATTGAGAAACATTTACCTATTCCACCTTTTTTTTGATTACACATTCGTTGTAAATATACAGTAAAAAAAAGACAAGTTTTTTTTTCTACATATAAGTTCATTCGTTAATACTCAATTGGATTAAAAAATTGCTAAAATTGGATACGGAGTATATGAATGTAAACCAATTTGATTTTGAGGAGGTTTTGAGTGTTCGATTTGTACATCGAATAGAGAGATGAAAAGCCAATTTTTTTTTAATGAGATTTTATCAAAATACTTTTTCTTCACTCTCTCTCTGGGTGTCTGTCTATCTGTCTGATTGTCAGTACATGTTGAAAGCGCCAGCTTTCTTAAGGCCGACCACATGCCAATACTATTTTCCGATGAATTTGTTGTTGTTTTTTTCTACTTCATCATCAAAAGCTAAACAATTTCAACTCGATCTGTTCATATTTTGGGCATTTTTTTTCATTTTTTTTATTTTGAGCATTTCAAGTGTTTTTTTTATTTTATTCATGAATATGTTTCAACTGATTTGAGTGAGGTGTAGTTGTTGTCCATGAAAAGGTCATTAAAATCACCAAAAGAGAAAATTATAAATCCAATACTCAATGTACATGAGTATATTTGTTAATCGCTAATAGTTTCCTTACATTATGCCCCGCACATTTAAAAAAAAATACAAATATATTGTCGTTTCAAGCATATCAACTGCACGTTCACTTGAATGTTTTAGTCGCGCAGCCCCACGCCAAATGCGTCGATTGCAAGTTCGAATTACACATAACATTGTACGAGAATATCAAATCTGATTCACACTCAAATATAATAAATATGTGAAATGAGCACGTTTTCTTTTGATTTGTCAAGGAAAACTGAAATGCACTAAAGAAGAAAGAGAGATAGAAACAAACTTAACAAAATTGTCCCCACATCATGGGACTGAAATTTAAGTGAAAATAAAAGTGATTGGAATTGCAGTATGTCTGTTGGTTTGCGATCCGTTTCGAAATTGATATTTTGCTGCCTAATGATAGTGTTCGTTTGGAGTGGCATTTTTATTTCACCCGCGCACAACTACCAATTTTATGATCATGTCAACCAAAACCTACATAAACGATGTAATCATCTACTTGAAAAAAAAATGGTAGCGCATCTTTTCGTTCCGTTTAAATGGTTCACACACACATGCAAACTCTTCCATTCCAAATATGGTTAATATCGCCAATTTCTTTTTCTGTCTGATTTTTGAATGATGAGTGATTATGAATCGTGCACGTTTCCCTTTTATGACTGTTTTTTTTTTACTAATTTCGAGAGTGTGAATTGATTTTTTATTCGCCAATTTAATCGTTTTATGTAATCTGGAAGAGTGAATGGGCACATCAAGTGAAATTACCACTTGCACGCTCAACCCCAAAGGCAAAGGAGCGAAGACGACGACGACGACAACACAAATCAAAAGCTCAATTCTTGCAAACTCGATTTTGCCTCGACGCATTTCTAGACATATTCAAATATATATGCTAAAACATATGCGCATGTTACGTTTAATTCGATTGTAATATTCGCAATAATAATTCATTTTATGGAAATAATTGTTGAAATTATATTATTTTATTTTTGGGCTTATACAATCTCATGCAGCTCACATACACACACATAGATAAATGTATTTTAAACAAAACAGAAATTTGTTGAAATTCATTCAGTCAAAGAGTAGTATGCCATTGTGATAGCTAACAACAAATACAATCACGTACCATGAATTTAAAATATAAAAACAAACTTAAACTGCGTCTGGTATGAAAAGCCTTAAAATGCAATCCAAAATGAAATCGAAGCGTGTGCGAGCGAGATGTAGAAAAGAAGTTATTGATATTTTTTTTAAAAAAGCACACATACACATATCGTAACGAAAAACTAAATGAATATAAAGAATTCGTAACGCAGTGGCAGTGGTTAGAAAATGTGAAAAAAAATCAAAGCACCTTGCCTTCAAAAAATGCACGCAGACACACAAGTGTGTGTATGGGCGAACATGTTCAATCATTTATGCACTAACAAGAAACGCGATTTTTTTTGTATATTGTATTGAATACATTTTTTTTCCTCTATTCCAACATTATAATCACATAATTTGAACCCGATCAATTGTAAAGCAATTATGGGCTTTTGAATTTTTCATTTTCGTTGAGTTGCGGTTGGCCAGCAAACGATCGCACTAAAACGATTGTGGTCGTGTGTGCAACAATCATCAATTTTGATAATCGTTAAATTTGTTTTTCTTCGTTTCTCTCTCTCTCTTTTTTTTTCTTTATCAGTCACTCGCTCATTTTCTTTATGAGCATTACACATTTTATTTCATTTGTATTGTTTCGTTCATTGTTCATTTGTAACTGATGATAAAACTGATGTTGATGTTTGTTTATTCGGTGATGATGATGATGATGTGCATACACGATGCTGTCGAGTAGTTTGGGCGACCAATTAGTTGATATGTGATGTGTGCATGTATGCAAGTGAAATGATTCCATATCATCATCATTTTAAGATTGATCAATGAGTGTGAATTGCTCAATAAGTGCGGCAATGGGCGCGCGCACACACAGAGAGAAAAACTAACAGCAAAACGGACAAATGAAATGGAACCGAATTTTGTTCGAAGTAGCGCTAAAAGCAATTGAATAAAATTGAATGAATCATGCATCAATTGATTGTCTGAACAATCCGATTGATGTGACATGAATCAGAGCTTCGTTCGACGGCAAATGGACACGCACAATTGATATGCACTCTATGAATCAGAAAGCAATTGAATAGAAAATAATAAACAGCAGGCAGCCAAGAAAAATGAAGCAGACAAAATCAATGAGACGTTGAAATCAATGGGACAGAATCAAGACAATTTCACAACGAATCAATAAGTAGGTGGTGTGTATACTAGAAATGGTGCTGTGCCATTTAATCGATATATGCATTTTAATTTGTATGGTTGCATTTCAAGCAACACATTATTGATTCATTCTCTCTCTCTCTCTCTCTCTCTCTCTCATACACAAAATTCAAATCAATTGTTTTCTTCAAGTTGATTGCTACACACACTTGCTTCCATATCAATTTTTTTTTCAATTGACCTTCAAATTATATATTACAAATCCAAAATTTTGGTCATGCTTTTTTCTGATTTCTCTCTTCTTCTTTTTTTTATTTTCACTAGACTAACATTAAATTGATTCATTTGGTATACAATAAATTTTTTGTGAATAAATCATTCGTCGTTAAAACAAAAGTTGAAAAAAATGTTTTGTCATGCCAAAAATGAATCACACTTGCACAATTTTTATCGTTCGATATATGAAATGTCTATCACTTTTTCCCAAAATCCTTGCCATTTTATACACAAACAAATATTTATTGGTGTCCTTTCGGCCACTAATTTCTCATTCATTAGTTTCGCTATTTGAATTGTAATTTGAGCATAAAACATTTTATCGATGACAAAATAATGCCTTTTTTATATCACATGTTTTCTTGTAAAATATTGAGCAATATGAGTGGAATGAACGAGATGACAATAGGACCGATGGATCTTACTGTATCTACTTGGATCTGGATTCAATTGATAAACAATTGAATATTGTCAAAATGAAGCGCACATGTTCATGCTTTGTCGTCGCTTTTAGAATTAAAACGCCATTCAAAAATGCGATAAAAATTATATGACGTTTTGGTCTTCTGGGCATCTTTACAATATGGACCAAATGGACAACAATATATGTTATGTGTTTGGTTTTCTGTCAATATTCAGTACATTTTACTTTTTCTTTCCAAAAACATGAATTCATGTTTTGCGGTCGATTGGACGACGTTTAACGTATTCTTGTGAAAAACTTTGTTTTGTTGGTGGTGTTTGTTTTTTTTATTATTATTATTATTATTCGTTTCGTTATTCAATTTAATAATTATTGGGTTTTTTATTTTTCAAACAAATAAAATTGTATGTATATATATGTTTCATTATCTCATAATATCCGGTGCAATCGGTATAAATATTGGTGGAATTATTGCGAAAAATGAACCATGTAACCGTCGATATATGTATGAAATTGCAATCAGAAACGGAAAATCAATGCCAAAGTGTGCGTGTGTGTTTGTGCCGTTTTCAATTTGTTTTTATGTTAATATGAAAAAATAAAAGCGGCCAAACATAAAAGTCCACAAAAATCCATTGAATTTGAAAACTCAAAAAGAAGACGAAAAAAAAATTGTAACCGATGTACGCGTGAAAAAGGCCACAAAAAATTTCGTTGTTTTTTTTTTTTTTGTGAAAATTTGTATCGATTTAAGTGTACGACTCAGTTGCAATTGAATTTATTTATATGTGTCTTTTTTAATATTATTCCTTTGTTGTTGTTGTATTTATAAAACAATTTTGTTTTTTTTTTTTTTACCAAGAGAGGAAAAATAATATTTGCAAACAAAAACACACAACAATGAAGTGCTTCACTTGATATTTGGCTAGTACACAAATATAAAATACACTTGATTCACTTGGTCTAGCTACCGATCACTTGGACAGTCGGCTTACATTTGTACCTGCTTTTGTTTTCTTTGCGCTGCTGAAGCTTGTGATCAAATATTATATGGATCTATTGTATGTTTGGCATTACACGGTGTTACGTGTTCACAGTTTAGCGTGCAAAAACACAATCATACCCCAAACAAACTGACATATACAGCACTGTTGCTTCGCCTCTCTCTCTTACACACACAGACACACACCCACTGTGTAGTTCTCGCTCTTTCCAACTTACACGCACACCGAACACTGATCGACGGCAAGCGAACGCGCTTTGCGAGCTTGCAAGCCAAACTATGTATACACTATGATCATCAGAAAGCACGATAGCGACGCGATATTCTTCTTCATTCCATTTTTCTGTATTTGCACATTCGTCAAATATTTGGGACTGGTGTTTTTTCTTTCGTTCAACTTCTTCTTTCGAAAATAAATATTTACACATCGAACACGACCAAGAGTAACACAAAAATAAATGTATCGAATTTTATTTTCGCTATTTCGAAAGATTTAAACAAATTCTCAAAAGAAATTGGAGAAATGTTGAAAACAAATGCGAACGGAAAGCAACAAATAAAATCATCAACCCAATTGCAAATTGGCACAGCTAGTCACGTGATTATGCCCGTTCTATGATCAAAACGAATACTCGCCGTTATCGTATATATTATTCATATATGTACAACAGTAACTGTTGTGCATGCGCTTTTTGCCAAATGATGCCAGAACTACAATGCGCCAAAAAGGCAATTGAACGATCAAAACAAACAACATAATTTTAATTTATTTTTTTATGTCTGTAGAATGATATCGTTGCCATACCAATTTAGAATTTATTCCGATGAAAAGAAAAACTGAACTATATACAATACTATATGCACTCACTTATGACCAGAGCGATTTATGTCCGATGAGTGTGGTGTGATTCATTCGAAGGTTCACATTCAACTGACGCATTAATTTAATTTACCATTACAAATATGTGTACAAATGTACATACGTACGTGGTTTTTTTCGGGTTACACATTTTACCATATCCATTCGCGTATTCATATGTAAGCACATATATTATTTCTCTGTCTTTCTCCCTCAATAGTGTGCGTATGTCTCTATGTATATCACTGATATCCAGAAAAAGATACATCGTGATCATTTCATGCACAATTTTCTATGCCAAATCACTTGGTCATGCATACGAAAAATGTGTGTTCGATCCTTTGAATTTTTCAGTACAATGCCTACGGTGGTTTTTTTCTCTCGTGTCAAAGAATGTAACACCTTCGATTTGATCGTGAGCTCGCGCGTAATATACATATGTATTGAAAATGTACCACATTGTAGTTGGCTACGAGCTACGGTTAAAAAAGACATCGGATATATTCTTTTGTTGCACAGCATTCTTAAACTGGTTTCACCGCATGTGACTATGAACTTTTTATGATTTACATGTGTGGCACATAAATTCGTAATACCTACACATTGGATTGCAGACTAAATAATTTACATATATCAAATGAAACGGCACGGTATTCCACAAAATTGTGGAGAAAAAGAAATATTTCTAATTATTATACCAGTTACCAGTTATAATGTTTTCGGTCACATTGCCAATCCAGTTGTTATAATGAAAATCCAGTTCAAACAGCGATTTTTTGCAACATACCACATTTTTTTCTGCAATATTATGAGATGAAACGAGTTTGTTTGTTCGTTGTATTTTTTTATTTCGTTTTATTTGTACATTAAGTTTTTGTCAATGGACAATGCAATTGCGATGACTGTGAAGGCTGTCAACCTGTATGTTAAATCAAGTCATTCAATTTATTACAAGAATTTGTCAAATAGATCTGAGCCGAATAAATGAATATAATAGTTTGTTAGTTAGCAACAGTAACCGCATGCTCTTCCCAACATGCGCCAGAAACCACATGAGCCGTGATTAATTCGCCAACTATTTGAATAAAAAAAAACGAATTTATTTGTTGACAAGATTTCGACAGCAGACACAAACTTCGTTAATCACGTTCAAGGTATTTTTCAGACGTCTCTCTCTCTCTGTATCTTAGATATTATTCATTCTCAATATGCAAAATGGTGCTGCTGCGTTCAACGGACATTCAGTCTATCGAAAAGTATCCGCTTATAACAAGTCAAATATAGAATAATGTTGTATTGCATGTAAATTAAATGTCATCTTGACATGTTTAAACAATTTTAGGAAATCGTAGACTATGTAACATGTACACAATATTGGACATGAGATGTGATGTTCCATTGAATAAAAAATAATGAGCAAAATTAGAATTTGATGAATACAAAAATGAAAAAAACGAACGACAAACAAATGTATGCAAAATATTTGCGTCAGCGTATTTACTATATTAAGCTGCATAAAATTGTATTTTATTTATTCAAAGCCGATGATTGATTATACCAAAACTCATTTGTATGTCATATGAATGATTTTCGGTTTTGTGAAGAAGAAAAAAAAACAAACAATGCGTCTCTTCTTCTGCAGATTGATCGGTGTGCTATGGGCGGCTTGTGCCTTTTTGTACAGTTATTGCATACGTGTGAGTGCATAATTGGATTCATTGAACAGAAGATTTGATACCGGTAACGATTTCAACCCACGATTACATTTTTACTTTTATTTTTTCAAATAAACCCGAAGCGGGCACACGCTCTTTGCGCATTTTTAATATTCATTCGCATTTTATGCGAGCAGATGAGAGGGAAAAATTTTTCCGTGTATCGTCTACCTTTTCATTGAGAAAATCGGTTCGCATCGCTGGATTACTGTGAATTGAAAATGATTATATGCTCTCTCTGTGTATGTGTGCATGTGTGGGTCCATGCGATGGTTCTTCGCCGGGAAATGTGATGTATGCAAGTCATTAGTGTGCTAAATCCATGCCTTCTGCATTATTCATGCATACATACATATATAGCAATAGGGATAAATCGAAGTGAAAATAAAACGAAGAGTGCGCGTCATCAGCGTAACACAACGACGACGTCGACGAAAACAAAAATAATAATGCAACACATCGACACACTGACATTCTTCTCTTTCGCCCCGAAGACTACTGCTGCAAAATTCTAAATGTAATGAATAATGAAAGTGAAAGATACACGTACATTATGTTATAGGTTCTGTGATTTTTCGAAAGCGTTCCTCGTCAACGCGCAAACGTATTTAAATAAAGAGGTATACGCGTATTTTCCTCTGATTTTTTTTCTTTCATCTTTCCATCTCGCATCTGGCTGCATGTTATCAGCAATCGTTTACACAGCAACACAGGCAACAGTAGCAGCAGCAGCAGCGGCGGCAATAGTAATACAGCACTACCAGCATCGTACTGATAAAACAAGACATCCACATAAAATATATATACACAAACAACAAGCAGCTACCACTTTTCGTTCACTATTTTTCCCATTTTGCATTCGAAATCTATGCGCTCAGCAATTTATATATAAATTTGGCAATAATGGTGTATTAAATCTACAATTTGATTTTTCAATAGTGTTAAGGTCTGGATTTTTTCCAGTATATACAGTTTGTTGTCTTGTGTGCTTTGTTTTATTTTTAAAAAAATCTCACCAATTCTTATGTTTTGTAAGTGTGTATGTGTGTTTGATTCAACTATTTTATATTGGTTGGTGTGTGTGTGTTTCGTTCAAAGATTCATGTATTCGTAGACATTTGTATTGTCGGCGAAGCTCTGATAATGAAATACAATTGTATAAATTTTCATCAAATTGTAGTTATAATGTGGATGCATAATGAAAATACAATCAAAATCTAACACAGACCACCGTATCTATTGAACCACTTGAGCCTTTTGAATCAGACAATAAAAATAAGGAGCCCAAGATAGAAAACAACAAACAAACAGAACAGAGAAGAAAAAAAAAAATAAAGAAAGAAAGAATGAAAAATAGATTGGTATATGAAACAAATAGCGTTCAAAAGTTTGAGTCGTATGTAATATCCCCAAGTACACCAACAGTAAACAGTGTGTTTTCCCTTGTCAAAGCATGTTGATAACACTGACTCACAACCAATGTACACAAAATCCATCATATATAGGTACTATATGTCGGCAAATACATGGAAACAATTCCAAAACCAATTCTATGTGCAGAATGCATACATACAAGCACAGACACACACACGCATACAAACACACACATACACACCGACAAATATACACATCAAAGGGACCCTTTTGCGTTCGACTCAAATTCAACTCTCTTTGCTCGAATTTGAGATAATTTTTCATTCCTGGCGAAAAATGATTTCAAAGCAGACGCATCACTGTATCGCATTCGTGTGTTGGATACGGTTACATATTTAGTGTGTCTCTCTATCAATCGCTATTCAGGAATCAACGACAACGACAAAAAAAAAAGAAAAAGAAACGTATCGGATTTAACGATTATTTTTCAAATTTATTAAGCATCCACGACAGCTTTGTCGTTTTTCTTTCATTATTTTTCGTCCTTTCAATTATAATTTATACAACTTTAGCTGTGAAATATCGTGATTAAAGTATTTAAAACAAAAAGTAAACGAACCAATATAAACAAGTGAGGCAATAAAGAAAAAAGGACACAAAAGAAGAAGAAGAAGAAGAAAAAAAAGAGAGAAATCATGTAAAATTCATATCTTGAACGATTTGTGAATATGATACATTTCAATTGTGTGAATAAGAATAATGCTTGAAATTTTTGTATTTTAAACATTCGTTTTATCAACTCGTCGTTGTGTGAATAAAAATAATCGAAAAAACCAATCAGAATTATTTAAAAAAAAAAGAGAAGAAGTTAAAAATGGCCAAAGTACTCGACAATCAGGATAATGAAACAAATGCAATATACCCAAAACTAGGCACAACTGTTGTTTCATCCATTAAATCAAACGTTCCACAATCAAATGTACAACAACAATCACCACTATTATCATCATCACAACAAACACAATCATGTGTTCTGCAACAAACAACAGTTAGTGTTCATCGTAACGGACACAGCCGTAATCCGTCTTCAATAAATGGCATTACAATTGCAACGCAAGTCATTCAGCCACCGCCAAATAAGCCCGATGCAATCAACAATCTATTGAAATTTATTCGATTTCGTAGTAGCTACAATGAACGCGATGAAAAATCAAAAAACCGTCAAAAGTGCGGCATACGCGAAGCACGTCTATTCAGTAAGTGGAAACCAGTACTATTCGATATGTCTTGTCTCAACGCAAAATTTTCGTTTTATGCACACATTTCTTATGCTCGCTGCCTTTTTTGTTGTTGTTGTTGTTGTTTTCATTCTCTATCTATGTGTGATTGACTGTTTTTACTTGAACTATTGAGAGCAAATGTTTATAAACACAACATTTTAATCTGGCAAACGCATCTATCAGAAGATTTGACATTAGAGAGCCTTATCGATATAAAATGTATAAACTATTAGTCGTTTCAGTTCCATCGTTATAAATTCAAATGGCAGATAAATGTTTTAATTGATTTTGCGAAATTGTGCGCATTTTATACATATTTACATGAACTCTCATTGTTTATCAAAAAGTTTTGTCTTCAATTTGTAATCAATTCGAATATTGAAACTGTCAGCGCGTTCACAATTGACATATATGCAAGCAAGAGATGCTTAATACAATAAATTGTGATAAGAGACCCAGATGATTGATACACCGATTTAAATTAAAAGGGCAAAAATGTGTTACGCTTGCAAAAAAAGAGCGTACGATGCAATGAACTATAAAATAATACACAAACAGCTTATTAAATGTCTTTTTAGACGACGACGACAACAAAATAAAAAGAAACAACATCGATACCGTCACTAAAAATTATGACAAATTTAATCATTGAGTCGCTATCAGTTGGAATAGAAATCAATTTTCTCACATGTAATAATCACATCAATAAATAGGCAACTAATAGTGAACTATAATAAATTGATAAATCTGTATAGTTTTTTTTTTTAAATACAGTCCGAAATCTGTTTGTCTAGTATGTTACTGTCGAAATTTATTTGTTCGTTCATTTTCGTTCAAGTGGTGTTTGGACTGATAACAAAGTCTCACACTGATGTTGTGTGAAAAATAAATTTACTATCAATATGTTTATGGAATATAATGGAGACATCGACGTCAGTATTTCGGTTCAAAAGCAATTCAATGCCATCCAAAAATAGGAAATTGGAAAAAACACATTTTTTGAGATACCCACACATACACGAAACGAATGAAATAAATTCATATGTTATAAATTAAGCGCAAAAATTCAGATGCAATGAGAAAAATGTACAAAAACTACTTTCAAATTTCTTATCGCACCGTGCAAGACCTTTTATTGACCCCATACTTTTTGTATTCAGTTTTTTCTTTCTTTTTTATTTTATTTCCTTTTCGTTAAATCAATTTTCGGTTTCACTTCTGTTCGTGATTTTTTTTACACCATTAATCCAGATTTTTAGACATACTTTTGATGGCTCTATCTCCTGTTAGTAACATGAACGATGTTTGCTTTTTTTTATTCTCAATTCTAGATATGTAGTCCTTAGCCATAGCAAAATAAATTTTCAATTAATATCGTTATCAGCATCTCGCAGCAGCAAAATGTTCACGTCATTCACTGACACACACACGCTCAACGTCTCTTTGCTCGTCCCTCTCTCTGTTTCTGTCTCAAATACAAATTGTACAACCGTATGAGGAGTGAAATTGATGTTTTTTGTTAGGAATTGCTTTGTATTTTTTTCTATTCTGTTATTAATTTCATTGGCGTATTCAGTTTTCAATCGACGATAAGAACCAAATTTTTTTTTCGGTCGGATTTTTATTCGAAGCACAGCATGCGGGTGTTGGTGTTGTTGTATTTTTTTAACGAGGGGAGAAAAATCGCAAATCGAATCCGGGAAACATTTTTATGATTTTATTATAAAAAGTTATTCGTTTGGAAATATGCATGCATACACTGTACTAGTATTTACTACATTTGACGTATATGTTTCCCCTTGTAGATGAATAAACAACGAAAACATTTCTTCTTCACTTGATACGCCGCTTTTCGATGCTCGTATAATCAATATAGAGTTGTTGTATCATATATGCAAGATGTTTGCAAAATTGAAAATGTCAAGAATCAAGATAATCTTCGTCGGATGTTTTGTTTTTATTTTTATCGGCTGAAGACCCATGAGAAAAGTAGAAGTAAAATAACATTTTTGATGTGTATGCCATTTTCTGTCATTTATTTTTTTATTATTTTATCACAACGGAAATGAACGGAGAACGCAACATTTTAACGCAAATAAATAACAGTTGCTACTTTAATCGCAAAATCGAGACCATGAAATGTAAATGGCCGATCACAAATCTCTCTTTTTTTGATGTACTTATACCTTTTTCTTTATGGTAAATTGCCATAAAATGACCGCAATTACTGTGAAACATGGCAAACCAATCGAACGAAAAATCGCACTGATTAAAATAACACCGATCAAACACAAACCACCAACCAAATTCGATATATGTGGCAAATTACACACGAATCATAAACAAATACATTTACAATCTCAAACTAATCAATGGATAAGATTCGGAATCAAGAAACTTTATACAAATCAATCAACATTATTTCGTTTGAGTACTAATTAAATCGACAACAAGAGTGACCGTAAGAATATTAAAATAAGCAAAAAAAATTATGAAATTTTCGATTCATTCGTCGGCTTAATTTTCAATTAGCTATAATGATGATCAAATGTTACATTCGACATTATTGTATTCGGTTGAATTATGTCGTGTGAATAGCTGGGTGGAAAAATGCGTGACCAAAGCTCAAACTACTATGAGTCAAAGTATTTTCATGTTCATTTTTTCACCGCATACATAGAAGCATACGGAACAAAAGAGAGCAACTGAATTGTAAATGGCAAAATTATGTGGATTTTTTACTCTCTACTTCTTCTTTTTTTTTAAATTTAAAAGTCTTTTTTTTTCAAATGAATAATGCATTTGCCACACACAATCAACAAATTATTGTACACATAGACCGCAAAAAAACAACGATAGTTCGGTTTTGAAAATGAAATGTTATGCGCATAAAGAACACACTGCCCGACAAAAGTCAATCAATGTAATGAATTCTCGTATGAACAAAGAAACGATGGGTTTCCTCTTGTATACGAACACGCGTAAAACGAAGACGCTACCAAATCAAATATAATTACATAAGTTATAATAATTTCAATCGCTTGATTGATCATCTAGAAAAAAAATCAACCTGTAGAGAAATTTCATTTATTTATTTTGCATATCACTATGACAGCCTCAAAAGTATGGCCAGTCTGTGACGTTGTCTGTATTGATAATTCCGCCGTTAAAATGCGGAACATTTCTTTGCATCGCAAGTATGATAATAATAATAGAGAATTAAAGTATTTACTTTTTATAGATTTCGTCACAAAATATTAACAAACTCATTTTTTTAATCTATTCTCTTTTATCATTTGTTTCACATTTTATGAAATACGTTGTGTATGCTACATTCATATATGCAGCACAAGAAAATCCACCGTTGTCATCGTGTGCATGATAATTTTCTGTCCGGATGCCATTTGTTACAAATTGCTTTATTTTGATTATAGGTTGCAACTTTCTTTCTTTTGTCTGTCACATTATTTTAATATGTGCCATCTTTTAGTTACCCAACTGAATGTTGAAATTGTATTAATGAGAAAAAGTTAACACCCACCGCTGCAGAGTGCATAAGTTTCAGCGAATTTTGTTTAAGTCTCACGCTAATTTTTGACCTGATTTTCATTTTGCTAACTCGAAAAAGTGTCAATGAATGAATCGCGATTTTTGTTATCTCGCCATTCAGTATACTTTTTTTCGTGTTGATTTCGTTCAAGATGTGCTACTAAACTCTTAAACGGTCAATCACACACGGTGTTTATCAATTTACAAATAGCATATTTTGTTTTAAATGCCGTATAGTAGATGCTTAGTACTTTTGCTATTTTAAAACATTTTCATTCAAAGAAGGTCGGCTGAGATTTTGTCAAGTTCTCATGTTATATTATTTATACAAATGGACTTTTTATGAGAAAGAAATTCACTTTAGATGATTGTTCACTTCAAATTCTATTATATTTCCAACAATTCACGAAACAGCTCAATTAAAATGGAATAATTAGGCATAAAAATGGGTTTGGTGTCAATGAAGGTGAGATCATTTTGTATGTCTTCAAATATTCCATTTTTGGTTGTGTATACATCAAACCCCATGACTATTCAAAAATGTATTCGAAATGCTCTCCGACACCTGCCAACACAATTTTTGCACAACACACATTATACGGAAAAGTAATTAGTCATGTTTCCATTGTGAAACGCCAATGGAACATATAGAATTCTATGCATATGCTAACCTTGACTTATTGAAAATACGATCGAAGAATTTTTCAAACAAATATACTGTCCAAAAACAATGTAATGAAGTTTGAGGAAATGAATTATATCGATCGCACATTTAACCTAAGTATTAAATTAATAGTATATAGTATAGTGAAAATCATACATTGTTTTTTTTTATCATATCAAAGTTTTGATGATTTTGACGTAATTTTCATTTAAAAAAATATTCTCGTTTTTGTTTTTATTGCAGTGATGTTCATCCTTATTGTGGTATTTTTAATCAGCGGAGCTGTGTTTTTCGTAATGTGGTTCACAGAGCTCTATAACGATAAAATTATAGCTGTAAGTTAATTATCATCGCTCGGTTGATTACATTAAATGGGAAAGGATTTAATATGAAATTCGTTTCTTCTGTTTTGTCCCAATTAGTCTTTAATTTTAGCAAAAAATTCAACTGCCTTACATTATTTTATCAATCCGCCGTTGAATCCGCTGTTACGAGTTCATATATTCAACTATACGAATACTGATCGATTTTTAAGTGGAGCCGATAAAAAATTGATTGTAGAAGATGTTGGCCCATTTGTTTACACGGAAAGGACACAAAAAGTTGAAGTTCAATACAATGACAATAATACTATTTCTTACCGGGTAATTGAACATCTAAAAATGAAAATGATCTTAGCTGATTCATAAAAAACTTTCTGAATGCAGGAACATCGATCATTTGAATTTCAACCATCATTATCAGCAGCACACAAGCTAGATACGGTTATTGTGCCAAATATACCATTGATTACAACTTCATGGGAGCTATCAAAGAGTTTTTGGTTGGCCACTGGATTCTCTGTTTCTACATATATGGTGGACAAATTTCCATTTGTGGTAAGTCTTAATGAATCGAACACAATAAGTCAGAAAATGATATTTTTTCTCTTTGATATTCACCAGAAATTGAAAGCCGATTCATTTTTATGGGGATATACCGACCCTTTATATGATGCATTGCGAACGTTATCATTTGGAAAGAAGCTAAAACCAATGTTCGGCATATTGATGACTGTAAGTGATTGAAATGCCCATGTGATGAATAAATGTAATCAAATGTGTAATTATTTCTTTTCAATGCAGAGAAATGGTACCAGCGAAGAAACGTTTACAGTGAATACCGGCGTGGATGACATTCGAAAATTAAATATCATCGATAATTTTAATGGAAAACCGAACATGAGTTTCTGGTCAACCGATGAATGTAATCGCGTCGATGGTACGGATGGTTCCCAGTTTCCGCCTCATTTATTGGATAAAACGCATACATTGGAAGTATTTATAAAAGCATTTTGTCGGAAATTTCCAATGGTTTACGATTCCGAAGTGAGCTTATTTAATGGTGTGCCAGCATATCGATACATAGCACCACGAAATGTTTTCGATAATCCCGATAAAAATCCCGAAAATAGTTGCTATTGTGACATCGGTTCGGGTCAATGTGCACCAAGCGGTGTGTTCAATGCAACACTATGTTTTAGTGCACCAATCTATACATCGTTTCCACATTTTTTGTACGGCGATGACAAACTATTCGAAAATATCCAAGGACTATCACCAAATGAAGAAGAACATTTAACTTATGCCGATGTGCATCCACGATTGGCCTTTCCAATGGCCGGTTCATCACGGTTTCAAATAAATATTCAAGTTTTTAAGGGAAGAGATGAATTGCGTAGATTCCAAGAGGGACAAATTTTGCCGATCATATGGATGGAAATTACGTCGGACAATGTACCCGAAGAATTGCAATCAATCATCTATCACAGCACGCTCAGTGCAAATGCCATTCAATTATCACTGCGGTATGGATCGCTATTCGGTTTGGCCGTTAGTATAACACTGCTTGTGACCGGTTGCTATTTAAAAAGTAACGATGGTGATCAAATAGTACGAACCAAAGGCATTAAAAATATAAAACAAGCACCCGGCACATTTACCATCGAAGAATTAGTTACAATCGATTTGAATGATCCGTCACTAACACACACCGAATCAAACAAAAAAGAAACTAACTTAGGTTTATTGTAAAAATAAAAACAACAAAACAATCACTACAAATGATATTAAGTTTTAAAGAAAAATAAAACCAACAAAAAATTATTAATACCATCATCTTTGATTTATATCTATTTACGTATATTTTTATATTTGAACATAACGCATAGTTATTATTCTTCTGTTGGATGCAATCAAATGCAAGACCACATTATTCAGACCAATTGGCACAAAATCACAAATTGGTACAACATTTTAAGGATGTAATGCTGGCTAAGTATTGTATTAATTTCCAATTTCATCTACGACGTTAAAAATAATTGTTTACAACATTTTTATATGCACTTTTGTGTGTGTTTTTTTTTCTGTGGTACGTCACTTTCGATCCCCTATTATAATCATTTTAAAATTCTGCAGAAAAATGAGTCAGGAGAAATGAATTCATTGCACGTGGAAACTTTCGCAAGTAGCGATTCAAACTCGCTTGAAAACACTTACAAAGGCGAACAATTTTTCGATTTTCTTGTAGTTTCTTTAGTTGATGAAAAAACCAATCATTTTTGGATAAAAAAACCAATAATTTGCATGATTTTTAATAGCGGCAATGGCTGAAATTTGATCCAAATTTTCTGGCAATTTCAATCAAATTCGCTATTGATGCGAATAACACTGAAGTTCTTTGGATCCACCTAAAATATCTAACAAAGACAGATTATGTTGTATGGTAATTTCAAATCATTGCGCTCCGTCTGCTTGTGACCAACTTCACGTCAAACACACAGCCAATGCGGACAACTTCCTTGTTTCTATCATATTAAATTTCTGACGTTTACATTAAGAATAATTATTCATATTTTGCATTTGCTTTTAGACTATAGTCTAATTAAACATTCAAAACGCACCGAAGAATTAAATCCAAATAGAGAAAGAAGAAAAAAATGCTCAATAAGAAGTGAATCGATCAACTGAGTGGTTTGAATAAAGATATTGTTGTGCATATGTATTTATGTTTGTGGTTGCATCATTTAATTTGTTGTTGAAGTTTCAAGTTCGTATGAAGTGCACTTTTGTTTCGTCTTTAAATATTTCTATGAAACATCGTACTTAAACACAGTATTATGACCAACAATGATGAGCCATCGGATAGCTTTTCCGATTCATTTGAAACGAATCATCATAGCTATCGAGAAAATACAACGATAAATTCAAGTACGGGATTAACAACAAATTCTAGTAAATGGTATCGTTTGATACCGCGATGCATTCGAAAATTTCTAGTAAAACAAAGTCATCGTCGTTTAACAAACAAACAAACCGAACATTTGGAAGAAAACACAGAAGCAAGATATCCTGGTAATCCACTCGAATTAGATTTTAATCCAGATGCACTTTATTCCATTGTCGATCGATTTCAAAACGACGAAGAAGTCGCTATGATACGGGCCACCGCTCAAATGGCCAGGTAAATATAATTTATAGTCACAATGAAAATTTTATTGATCGTTGATTTCCATAATAAAAATAAATGAAATAGGTTCGGTTGGTTTTGGGGGCCCATATCGCGGCATGCAGCTCAACAAAGACTACACGGAACGCCGAATGGATCATTTTTGGTGCGCAATTCACAAATTAATCTGCACAATTTCACAATCTCTTTTCGGACGGCTGGTAAAACATTGCATTATCGCATAGAATTTGTAAATGGCTACTGGTAAGTGTAATCATTCATTAATTTACTCACATACGAAGCAAACAAACAAACAAATCAAACATTTTTCCTTTGACTTTCAGGCAAACATTCAGTTCAAAACATCGTTCAATCGTTGAACTTATCGAAGATGCAATGAAAAAATCCAAAGAAAATGTATTTTGTTATGTAAAACAAAGTTCAGAGCTAATACCGCCGTTTCCAGTGCGCCTAACAAATCCAATCAGTCATTTTGGTGACATACCATCGCTGCAGAATATGTGCCGATTAGTCATTCAAAAAAGCATGAATGGAAGATTTGATCGAATGCACGCGCTGCCACTACCAAATAAACTGATTACGTATTGTAAAGAATGCGAAACAATTTATGGCGAAATGCCAATACGAATAGGCTAAATACAACTCATACTTAGAAACGAGTAACACACACACAAATGCATAATATGCAGTGCTAGATTTTAGGAGCATTTTCAAAACATGACTTATACGAATTGTAGTTTCGAATCTCTTATACGCTATTACGAAACGAAAACTAATCTCATTTATTTTAGCATGCAATCTTCTTGATATTGATCCGAAGTTTGCACGTCTTAATTTATTTTAAAAGTGTCGCACATTTTCTTTTTATTCGAATGATCTGAATATTTTCAATTACTACTCGTTTTGTTTTCTCTTTTTTTTTTGAAAAATTGTCAAGAACTCATAAAATTCAATTGAGATTTTTTTTAGCCATGAAAATGAACGATATATTTGTATACACAATTTAAAAAAAAAGTATTTATATTTATACATATATCAATATTTATGTAGCAACGACCCTTTGTTAGAGCTCATTATTTGACTGACATTGAACAAAAAAAAGTGGAATAGTTGAACAGCAAAGAAACCAATCAATTCATTTTTACTTTATAAATTATTACAGAGTTAAGATCGTGTTTAATTATTATTATTATTTTTTCTATTATATTTGTTATTGCACTAACCTAAATGAGAATACAACAAATTCTTTATTATTAAATATTTTAATAAAAATGCAATCAAAAGTAAAATCTTAATTGTATTCCAATTTTTGTGCATTGTCAAGTGAATGATGTCATTTTGATAATTCTAGGTTTGCTCTTTACCCACTAAACAATTGTTGGGGCAAATTTATCCATTATCGGGGTATATATTGATGGTCGAATGCGGGGTTGCAGTTGTGTGTTGTTTCAGTCGAATTTAACGTCATAATGAAATGAAAAAAGAGACAAAAAGAGTTATGCATAAAATTTATATTGAATTGAAATCAATATGTTAATTAAAATAGAGCTTTAAAATCAACACCAATAAAAAATGTAATCAATTAGTTGGTAAAATTATTCTCACCGTGGGGTACTTTATACATAATATCTCAGATATATAAATAACTACAGAAAGTTGTACCTTTGTACATTATGCACCTTGCCGCAACAATATCTCGATGCTAAACAATGGTAAATCGCAGCTCTCGATAAATTAGCAGTGGCAACGACATGTATTTGGCACTCCCCAGTGGTATTGGAGCATTGCGTGGACAATTCTTGCATGCTTTGAATCGGAATTTTTTCGTTTCTTTCGGGAACTTCACCATGCAACTGGCACAGTGTTGCGATGTGTAAGCTTCATCCACTCTAACGACATCTGAATGATGTAGTTTTTTGACGCTGTTTTCAAGACGTCGTGTTCCCGGGCATCGTTTGGTCTTCTTCTTACCGATTGGCGAATTGGCTGACAAGTCCGCGTCTCCAATGGTAAACAGCGATGGCTTATTCTTTGTCAATGATTTTGCAAACCAATCGGTTTCGTGCTGTGAGTCGATGTACTTGTCCAACGATAGCCGTGCATATCGTCACCGAGCATATGCCGCCAATCCATCCTGCATCATTTTCAATCGATGATCGAGATAGTATATCCAGCCGTTTCCGCGCGGTGATGGTATTACTAGATAGTTTTCCTCGCGATCGGACTGTTCCATCTTCGTGAATTTTGCTGTCATGCGCTTTGCTCTTTTGTCCCGAATACCTTGTCGGGCACCCCAATGATATTGCTTCGGTGATATTTTGATGTTTTTCTTTGATAAAGCCAAAATAAAAACAATCAATACATTAAATCTAGAAAATTATGAAATTTAAATTTAAAAAAATAAATATATTTAATCAACTTACTTCGACACAAGTTTCAATTTTCCGACGAAATCCAGCATAGTATGTGTTCACGGTTCCAAGTTTTTTTATCTTCTTTGGGTCTGAACGGTAACTGCATGACTGGTCTACTACTTGAAGGATTCTTTAATAATTTGAGATCTTTATCTTTGCGTAACAATCCCATACAATTACAGTCAATGAATGACTTAAGTGTTGTTAAAATAAAAACAAAATATCCATCGATTGAATTTTTATCCATATCAACTATAGACGATAGAATAGCTGAGCAAATGATATTGGAAGCGGAAGAAAACCAAATTGATCTCGCAATAGGCGGTTTTTTATTGAATGACAAACATTCTCTAACATATTTACGTTTTTCCCATTTTGACAGTATTAATTTTGCGAACTATAATCAAAAGGTTTATATAACATCTTCAGTAAGAAAATACTTCACAAACAAGGTGAAAAACCTTATCGTGGCACCAATCAGATACCCGTACGTAAAAAAAAATCGACTATCTAGTTAGCCGCTTATTTTTGGACGTTTTTGACTGTCTGATTGTGATTGTTTCATAGTGCAATATGCATATAATATAGTCGATCATAGTCAAATTTTCAGACAGTTTTAAATGTCCCAAAATAAGCAGCTAAGTAGATAGCTGGTTGATTTGAAAACTTTATATGAAAACAATCAACTTAGTCAGCTATAGTCGATTATAATAGACTATTTTCAACAATTAGTCAGTCACTTTTTTGGTATACAGGTAGGTTTTCAACTAAATATACAAAATAATGTAATTGTAATAAATAAAACATTGAAATTGAAGAAAAATCTTTTATTCCACTCTGTCATGCGTATTTCATCGTCTGACGAAAAAAATGTTTAGCCGATTAAGGTATAGATGACGATGTTACAATCGAGTTGTCATTAGTTTTTCCAATGAAAAAATTGTTGTTATAATGCAGAGTATCATGATTTGCTGCTGCTCAGCATATAGCTGAGAGCTGAGGAATGCTGAACTCGTGCGGCTAACGCATACGAAACGGATGCACGCACACATGCATTCTCCCCGTTTAAACGGTTATAAACAGTTGATTGGATGTTCAATAAATAGCTTTTGATCAAACATAAATTTCTGATTTCAATTCAGAAAATGAAAAAATAACTTGTGTGTCCCATTTGTGCAAGTAGTATTAGATGCAAATTTACACAATCTTTTTACCATTTTTAGTTAAATGACGAACATTCAGAATAATTTCACTGAATATGTCAAAACAAATTAATTAATATCATCGTGACCGAAATAAAGTCATTCGACCGTTACATTGCGCCATTGTTGAAAAAATAAGGCGAAAAGAAATTAGCCGATGTAGCCGCATCATCAAAATCTGGTTGGCATGACGTTAGATCCCCGAAGAAAATGAATTTCTGAATGCCTGAAAATGTGTTTGAATAAGAAAATGACAATGATTTTGAATCTATATAAAAAAGAATAAATCAGCAACGCAAGTTGACATTTTGTGTTGAATTTTATTGTTTCATCAGCGGACAGTTTAATGTAGTTAGCATTATTCTGATTTGGTTGTTGAACAGGTGGCCGGGCTCGCGTAAGTGATGGATGGATATCAATTCCCTTCACTAAACAATTACCTGAAATTATTGGATCACTATCCAATTGATAAACGAATGTTTTCCATGAATCTCGAATACGCTATAGCACAGTGTGTGTGTCAATAGCCGATTGTTCAATTTTTGGTGTTTTAAAAAAAAATGATGCAGCAACACCGACGGTCTCAAATTGGAAATAAAATGACTTTCTTTTCGCCAGACCTGACTTTATTATCGGCTGGCCCCTCCAATAGCATCCACAAGGTGATTTTACTTGACGAATATGTCTTTGATACCATTTATAAAATGACAAAAAGGAAATCGACTGTCTGAACTAGCATCCATACATAAATACAAATGGTCATACAACGCGAAACGTAGAATATTCACATTTGAATTTTTAAAACAATAAACATTAACCAAATAAAATGTTTCGTTCGCATCTATGTGTGTCTGTGCGTTCAAAAATTTACGTTCAACGTACTGTTGATGCGTTCAACAATTTTTAATCCACCATTAAATATATAATTTATTGATTTTTGTTTTTCAATTTATTACATTTATATACACAATAATTTAATGATCCTTTAACGCTATCTTTTAAAAAAAAGAAAGAAAAAAAATAAACAGAATATTGCTAAAGAAAAATTTGCTAACAAATTCATTTTAGTTTGGTTTTTCTTAAATCATTTTTCGATTTTTTTGCATCATTTTAGTTTTTCTTTTATAATGTGTTTTCGAACGATGTCACATTTATCTAATAATAAATGGTGCAAAAAAGCTACGGGATTGCTGAAAAATATTCTTTTTTTGTTTGTTTTATCTTCTTCTATTCAAAGAGAAAGAAAGGAGTGAATGAATTTTTTGTTGTTGTTTATGTAGTGTGTTGTATCGAAATAATTTAAGTTAGTTTAATTTTATGATAAATTCTTCTATTAAGAATATTGAAAATATAGGCGACATTGGCAATACTATTAATTTGCAGTTGTAACCATCTTAGATTTTTTTCACTAGTTTTTTTGTGTTAGAGTTTTTTTTTTGTTTTGTTTTTTAATATTTCATTTTTTGAGAGCATGTGTAATTTGTTTCTCATTCGTCTAAACAGCTTCGGTTTTTAAGTTAGGGTTTTCCTGATTTCTGTTGTTTTGTTTTGTTTCTTAGCCCAAATCACTTTTGGATTTATAAGGTGTATGCGGCTTCCAACAATTGCGCCAATTCTTTATTGTGTTGAGCCTTTGATCCGGTGGCAGTTGAAGCAGCCGTTGATCGACCCACATAACTAAAATGTCAAAGCAAGCAAAAATCCCATTCAAATGATTGTTATTTATACGAAAACAAAAAAAAATGTTATTTCAATACATACCCAATATCACGAGTATGATTCAATGCAGTTGAGAATCTTGGTTGAATGTAGTTCCAGGCACCTTGATTCTTGTGCTCTTCTTGAGCCCAAACAAGCTCGGCATTCGGGTATTTGGCACATTCCTCTTTGACCAAATCATATGGGAACGGCGAAATCTGACCGAATAAAAACAAATGTAAATTGAATGGTTGATTCGTTTTTCATCGAAAACACATCGCAAAAATGATCCGAATTTTACCTGTTCAACTCTTGAGATTGCAACCTCTGATTCAAGGCCACGTTCTTTACGTGCTTTGGTCAAATCGTAGTAAACACGACCCGAGCAGAAGATCAATTTCTTAACGCTTCCTGGTGATTGGGCGCTAACACCTTCTTCAGGAATGACACGCAAAAATTCGGTACCTTCGGTCATTTTACTAAATTCACTCTTTGCTTCCGGATGACGTAGCAATGATTTTGGTGTCATTAAGACCAACGGTTTGCGGAATGGCAATGCAATTTGCCGACGCAAAATGTGGAAGTAATTGGCTGGCGTTGAAACATTTGCAATGATCCAATTTATATCGTGCAATTGACGAATGGCAAATTCATCAGATTCGGGTGGGAAATAGTCTGGATCGTCTGAGCACATTTGCAAGAAACGTTCCAAACGTGCCGATGAATGTTCGGGTCCCATACCTTCCATACCGTGTGGCAATAACATTACCAAACCGGATTGACGAACCCATTTAGCTTGACCGCACGACACAAATTGATCGATGATACATTGCGCAGTGTTATTGAAATCACCAAACTGAGCTTCCCAGATGACAAGCGCATTTGGATTGGTCATTGAATAGCCAAGTTCAAAACCGAGCACAGCATATTCAGACAAGGAACTATTATTGACACTGTATGGTGCTTGATCTGGATACAAGTGGCAGAGTGGCCGATAAGTGGCTTTGTCAACATTTTGATGATGGAGCACATGATGACGATGTGAGAATGTACCACGTTCAACATCTTGACCCGATAAACGTACGTGAATGCCTATTAAATGATTAAATCATTTTTTGTGGTCACAATTTTTAATACCAATTTCGGTCTATGATATTTACCTTCTTTTAGTAAAGATCCAAATGCCATTGCTTCACCCATTGCCCAATCAACGACTTTTTGGTCGACCATTTCTTTACGAGCTGCCAAAATACGCAACAAGCCTCTGTGAATAATAAATTCAGCGGCATTTGGTGGTGGTGATGAGAATCGGTTGCCAATGTGAACCAAAGTCTCCTCCTTGACACCTGTTGATGCCACTTTCAATGGGTCTTTTCCCTCAAAGAAGCCAGACCATGGTGAATCCAACCAATCCTTGTACTGAAAATACAAAATAAACATCAAAATATATATATATTTATAATATTTTAGTCAACAATACGAACTTTGATGTGTGTTTCTTTTTTGGCCAATAAGAATGCTTCTTCGCAGATCTTTTCGTATTTGTCACGAACACTCTTAACATCTTCATCACTAACGATTCCTTCTTTGATCAATTTGTCTGAGTAAATTTCCAAGCCTAGAAATTAACCAAAAAAAAAAATACATTCATAATACTCATTGCAATCGGCAGAAAATGGAACTCGGTTTTGGCTTACAATTCTTATGTTGACGAATTTTTTGGTACATAAGAGGTTGTGTGAACATTGGTTCATCAATTTCATTATGCCCATTGCGTCGATAGCTGACCAAATCGATAACAACATCCTTATGGAATGTGGCACGCCATTCAGCAGCCACGCTACATACATGCATAACAGCTTCAGGGTCGTCGGCATTAACATGGAAAATTGGTGCATTAACAACGCGTGCAACATCGGTACAGTATGGTGATGAGCGTGAAAAACGTGGATCGGTAGTGAAACCAATTTGATTGTTGACAACCAAATGAATTGTACCGTGTGTTGTGTAATCGGGCAATTCTGACAAATGCATTGTTTCAAAGACGACACCTTGACCGCAGAATGCGGCATCACCATGAATCAACATTGACATAACACGTTTACCTTCACCATCACCGCGATAAAATTGTTCGGCCCGTGTTTTACCCTGTACAACTGGATCGCAAGCCTCCAAATGCGATGGATTTGCAACAATAGCCAAACGAACATTTTTATTTGTGACACGATTCAAACGTTCAATGTAGGTGCCCAAGTGATATTTTACATCACCTGATCCGTCATCGGCCGCTTCCAAACCAGCAAATTGTGTGAAAATATGATGCAATGGCTTACGGCACACATTAGCCTACATCAATGGAAATTATAACGTTTATTAATATACATAAATACGATACTCATTGCCATTTTGCAAACATACCAAAGTATTCAAACGGCCACGATGTGGCATTCCCATGATAACTGATTCAACGCCAAGTTTCGTTGATACATCAATGAGTTGTTTCATGGCCGGAATCATCATTTCACCACCTTCCAAACCGAAACGCTTTTCCGACTGGAATTTCTTTGCCAAAAATGCTTCAAATCCGGTGGCCCGAGTCAAACGTGCCAAAATCAAACGTTTCTCTTCGGGCGTATAATTCATAACACCAGGCGATTCAAACTTCTTACGAATCCAGTTACATTGTTCCAACGAATTAATAAACATAAACTCAACACCTATTTTATTACAATAAACTTTTTCCAAACGGTCCAAAATTTCACTGCAAAATATTAAGAAGAGCAAAAAAAGAAATGGAAATATTCCAATAAATGTCATTCAGTCTCCCGTTTATAAATCGAATTAATTACCGTAGTGGCAATGCTTTGTCTTGTCCTCCAATGAAGGTTGTACTTGGTAGTTTGAATACACGATCCATATCTTTCTCGTCTGCACAGTTTATAACAAAATCAAAACAATTTTATAATTATGCACTGAAGTAGTGTTCGTGATGATCTGGTTTTTCATTTCAATAATCAATTTTTTCAATGAAAATTCCGCTTCAATTAAATAAGTATTTATTTTGATTTTTGAACAGAATTATGTTCAATAAAATATTGCTTAAAAATTTCTCATGATAAATTGATTTTTGAAATTAAATTCAGTTTATTTGTAAAAATTACTGCACAGAAAAATTACAAAACATAAAAATAAGCTTTTTTGAAATTCGGAGTCTTTTTTTTTAATTATTACGTTTTTTTTTATTTGGAGGTGTATTTTTTTCTATATTTTGTTATCAATTGCAAGTTAAATTTGAGTTAATAAAGCGGTTGTTTTTATATACATTGACTACTACAGTTATCTTTCAAATGGAAAATGTATTCACTCATTTTTGTAAATTGTCTACTAATGCAAATTGAATTTCATTTAAAAAAACAAACATAGAAACAAATATTTTAATTATTATATGTCCACAAAAGTCAATTAATTTGTCGAGATATTTGTTCATATTTTTGGTAATTTTGTATCAATTAGTCATGAATTCTATGGACAAAAATGAAATAAAAATGAATCGAAGCTACAAATAATCGTGTATTATAAATAAAACCGATCACCAAATATTGAAAAAAAAAAATTATTCCAATATTTTTTTGTTTGAAAGTAAAACGTTAAAAAAATGAAAATAAAAATATGCATCGAATGAGTAATTTTCGAGAAAAGAAAAAAAAATTACGAACAAACGAATCGAAATGCATTTTGTGCGATAAATGCACAAACAGAAAATCAATGAAATTTCTAATAAAAAAGTGCATTTGTTCATTCGAAATGGGAACAATGCAACAAACGTGTGCGGTTTATACGTGCGACTAACGATAAGAAAAATAGTCATCATCAATATATAAAAACAAACATTGAACACTTTTTTTCAACAGAAAACAGAACAAAAATAGAACGCGTACACATGGTTGAACAAAAAGGAGCGGTCGACGAAGGGAAATAGGCAATATCAGTTTGGATTAAATGGGCTCGTTTTTAGTTAAACACGAAGTTTGAGCTTGACTTTGGACAATTGATTGCATTATATGCCATTTTTTAAAAAACCATCTGATTCTATATTCAATATAGATCTTTTTCCACGTACTAGCAAAACAGAAAGAAACCTCTTATCAAAACAAAACATCTGCGATAGTAATCGCAATACCAGAGACAGGTTTTCAGATATTTTGGGCATGCTTGCACATTTAGCACAAACATTGTTAAATGTATTAGCACACCCAAATTATCTGAAAATAGTTCTCTACGCAATAAAAAAAAAGCCGAAATAATTCAAAAAAAAAATTAAACGACATAAAACAAAGTAGGACAACTTATAAATTTTTTTACACCCAATTTGGATACAATTAGCATTTGGAGTTTGCATTTTTGTTTTAAATTAAAATGAAAAAAAAATTGCTTTGGTTTGTGGATTTTTTTCGTTTCAGGTTGTTATTACTTACCGAAATTATAATTTGCATGAATAAATTTTATTGGTTCGTCTAATAAGGTCGAATTAATACCGAGCGGATCAAGGTCGGCTATGTGATGACCTCGAATCTGTGTGTTTTTTTTGTTCGACCATTCATTAATTGTATTTTTATACATATACATCCACCAACGTAATTATCGGGGTTTCAAAAAGAACGGAAATGCACGTATTTGAATTTGATTTTTTTTTGTTTCATTGCAACGCCGATGGGAGCCCAAAAACCAATTGAAAGATGGATGTACAAACACAAAGGAAAGAGAGAGAGAGAAAAAAGAATAACAAAAATATTTAATAAATGTGTGTTTAAACAAAAAGAATTGAGTTGGTATAATACTGTTTTTTTTTTTTGTTTTCTAACAGTCAAGTCGATATATGGTTTTCACGAAGAAAAAAAAACAAAGAAAATTGCACGTTTATCGAATCCGTTTTGCTCGAATTCTTTTTTGACGTATTTCACAGACGAAAAAAAAATCATATGTAATAATGATGCAATAAAAATTGAGCCCAGATATTTATTGATTTATAAATGAACTCAGTTTCGATGACTTATTTTTCGATTTCGACGCATTTAAACCCTAAGAGACAACAGGCGAAATAAGAGATAATGCATATCTTAAATGAACCAATAAAATGAATCAAAATGTAACACTTTTCTGTATATTTGTGTGTGTGTGTGTCTGAACTGATAGATTGGTGTTCAAGTGAATATAAAGTATAAAAGGTCTTTGGCATGCCGTTGCTGATACATTGAACCATACAAGACACGGGTGAATTCGTTTTTTTTTTAAAAACTTACTTGGCAGAAGAAAATTTGGAAATGCCAACTTTGAAAATAGAATGCAAGAGTATAGAAAGATTTTCATGCAAAGGTGGTTCCATTTCGATTCCATTCGGAATTTTTAAATTGATTTAAAATGCAGATGTGGGAATTAATAGATGCATACAAACTTCATATAAATATAAAAAAAGCGTTGTTTGTTTTTCATTACTTAAACTTCATTCAATGATTGAATTAATCTAAAAAAAATGTTTTTGTATTGCTATTCAATTCCAAGCTGAAAACTACTTAAGGCTAATGAAATTGATGCATTTCTCATACTAATATAAGTGCTCTTCTTTTACAATGACACTGCTCTTGTGAATCTATATTAAAGCAGATATTTACAACAGTTTTTTTCGATAATGTGTGAAAAGTGTTAATTTACGATTCTCACACATTTGAAAGAAAATAAAAATCTTTCATTTGTCATTGGTTATTTTATGTGAATGATTGTATAAGCACTGAATTCTCTCTCCGAATTTCAATGTAATAATAATAGCATGTAGGGCAATAGGTAAAAAGAAAAACGAATTAAATTCAAAATGAAACAAAAAAAGTATGCTGTACTGAATAAAATTAAAATAGATTAATATTGGCATCTATCCCAACACCATAATCAAAATAACACTGGGGTGGTTTTATGCTATTGTGATCATGAATTTTAACAAACAAACAACAGAAATAAAAAAAAATGTTTAATAAAGAATGAGTAAAAAGAAATGGTATATGTTTTTGGTGTATTCTAAAAAAAATGTTTGTAAAGTAATGAAATTTGTAGTTTCTTTACCAAAATTAAAATATTTTCGTGTAACATTTTCATTGGCTCGTCTCTTTGTGCCGCCGATTTCTTTGGGAGCACTGGTTGTAATGCCTAACGGATCCACATCAGCAACCAAATGACCGCGTGACTAAATATTTCATTTTTGTGTATTTGTGCATGTATATAATTTATTTTTAAAATTGTCGATGAATTTGTGTCGGCACATTTCGATTTTAATCGATATAGTATTTATATGTGTGGGTTGATGTGCAAAAATGCAATTTGCCGTGGAAAATCGAATTTGAAATTGTTAGATTTATCCATAAAAAGCATTCAGGTTAGATTTAATGGAAGTAAAAAAGAAAACATTTAATTTTTTTTTTTTTGAAAAAAAATGGCGGATTTTTTTTTTTTTTTTAATGTTGATTATTCCCAAAAAAATGTTCATGTTTATGGCGAAACGTGCGAATAGACCATTTGTGCTTGTGTCATACACTCATAAAAAACTAATTCTTCTAATGAAGCCAGTCACAGTTGAGTCGGACTGATTGAAAACAATTATTTAACGAAGTGATAGAAAATAGTAAAGAAAAAGAATCAAAATACAAATGTGCTAAATGCTATCAAATTTAAATGCATGACATATCATTTGTGATATTTCTAAATTTTAAATTTTTACTTGTAATTTTCAATATAGATCATATTATCGAAATAAATTTTAATTTCATGCTTGAAATGGCAAAATTTGTAAATGAATAAAATATATTGGAAAAAAACGTATGTTATTTCGTTTTTTTTCCAGCTGAAATAATTGTGTGTGAGATCTGATACGAAATTAATGGGTCCGATGTGTACAAGTGAAAAGAAATAAAAAATATCACGTGCGTATATATTTGTATGGAAATTTATAAATAAAAACTAAGCACCGATACTGATGTTTCAAGTTCAAACATCAACGAAATTCCCAAGTATTTTCCATTGCTATTTTTTAGTGTCTTTTTTTTTGTCTTCTTGGCGCGTTTGAATGTAAATATTACATTTAATGTTCGAATAGTTTCTTAGCGTTGACGACACCAATAACAACATCAACATCAACAATAAAAAAAAAATATCATCACAATTACGATAATTTATCTATCTACAGTTACACAAAATTCATCAAGGACAACACTATACACAAGCAAATGACTATGCAGCGCGCGAAAGAGTGAGATAGAAAAATTCGAGCGAGAAAAAAATGGAATTTTTTACAAATTGTGTAATCATGAATTGACTGTGTAATTTGATTTTGCCTGTAATGAAGGTCATCCGTTCTCATTCACTCTGTATTTCACTTGCGTGTGACAACATTAATTATAATCACAGTATTCTGTGTACACATTTGGTTTGGTTCAATGAATTCTCATCGATTTAAACACAAAGAACACAAACGCAGCGGCCACATATTCAATCTAAATTTTTTTTTCTCTGTCACTGTCAAGTCATTTTGCTTACATCAAGCATTCTGCGGAATGGTAAATGGAATGCAAGCAAATCTGAAGATGTATATGTGCTGGAGAAATTATGAGAATATATAATAATGCATATTGAAAATTTGAAGCCACCACATTTTCTCTAAAGAACCACCTCCGTTAATTTAGCTTTTATTTATCATAAATCGATAAAACATGTAATAATGAATTTGCGTCGAATCTAAATCGAAAATGAACGTCATGTCATTACAAATTTGGCTGATTGATATCGCTGTGTATTCGTTAAATAAAAGAAATCAAAAACGATTCTGCTTAGAAAAAAAAATCAAAGGGGAAAGGGAAAGTTGTCGGAATAATCGAGAAACGGTATAACGTGTTGACTTATTGTTATCTGAAAATTTGCATGTGGCATTTGAAATGCTCTGAATTTGTTTTATATCGCCATAATACGAATAAATTCAATGGGAAAAATCAGTGTGAAATCGATGCAAAAAAAAATTTATATTATAGATGTATCACGTGAAATGAAAATGTTGAATGCAACAATTTTACATTACCTGATAGCTTCTAATGATTGCTTGCACAGCCAAATGATCGTCAATGATTTTTTCGTCAGGTTCAACGCCGGCAAGTGAACCGCCACCCATGAATGGTGCCAATTGTGATAATGGCACTTGATTTCTTTGTACAGGTGCAAGCGATGGTGGTGAACAATAAGTGTTGCTTCGGAAATATGCATCCCATGACTATTTGAAAATTTAATATGATCTCGTTTTTATTGTTTTGGTCATAATTTTTCAAGAGATAAATTTCAATTGTTGTGTGTACTTACCGTATGCACAGAAGTTGGATCTCGTAACCACGAGTTGTACATTTCTTCAACATAGCTTGAGCTATTACCATCAAGTGATGGCTTGTCAGCGGCCATTGAGTAGCTTCGAACCGATGATATGGTCAAAAAGTCCTTCATAAACTGTCCAAATGAAAAATCCACAAATTTAATCGTGAATGGAAAGAGGAAAGCATTTTTTTTTACCTTGGCCTTATCTGATGTCTTTTGTGCCAACCATTGGGATAATTTTGGTTGTCTGGCCGGTGATAAGCACACCGAATAAGCTGTATGGGCACGATGCATCTTTATCTAATGTTTATGTTGAAACTGAAATCCACAAAATGTATTCAATATTAAATTCGTTAAAATCGGTTGATTGTTGTTTTTCAGTCTCGAATCATGTAAACAAAATCATTTCAGTCAATTATATGTTTATTTAAAAGGGAAAGATGCGAGACGTAGATAAAGAGAGCATGAACGACAAAGAGAAATGACCAAAATGCGTCATTGACAAAAAAAATAACAGAATTTCACATATTCACAGACACTTGTTAATGTGATGCGGCAATTAAATTTATGGATATTGCATAGACCAGCGAAGACCGGTTCAAACTTTTTACTGATATCAAACGATGACGTAGCTAAGAGCACAAAGTACACACATCATGCCTCTCCGCGTACACACATTTATTCACATTCGCAACGCAACGCGCAAGCTTTCATAAAATTTCGCGGATCATATGACCGAGTTGTTTTTAATTCATAAATTTTCAAAATGTGTGAATCATACGCGCGGCGCATTGCGTTCACCAACAATAATTTCATCACCAATCGCAAAACACATTCATTCCTTTGCAATAACAACAACAAAAATCACAGCATTTTCGATGAAAAAAAATAAAACACACAACCGACGAACACACACATTCACTCAATTTTCATAGGAAAAATGATCGACGAAATGAGTTTTTATTTACCACTTTGGTCTGGATTTTGTGAGAGTAATAAAAAATTAAATAAACTGACGAAAAATAAAAATAAATTGCTAGAATAATCGACCGATCGTTCGTATTTTCTTTTCTTATTCTTTGCACACCGAATTATTGGTTCTGCTAGCGAGCGTTGTTGATTCCGGATAAATACTAAAGAGCCAATGTCAGCTATAGCTCATATTAACGTAATATAACCACATGACGATTCAGTCTTCTGTCATATTATCTATAGTATGGTATGTATACGTGTAGAAAATTTGAGTTTGCCTTTATTCTCTGTCTATTGAAACGCTGCAATACGTTAGTTTGTTTGTTTTTTCGGCGCTTATATAATCAAAGATCATTCTTTTGGTTCTCATATATAGAATGTGGTCATTTATTCGATCGAAGTTTTTGTACTCATTTTGGCGATCAAATGAATTTTCTTCCGAATATTTTCAATTCGAACGCATGGTGATCGCGCGCGCAACACATATACACACCCAATGTTTCACATGTACATACACATTTATGTGTATCCGATTCCAACATGGATACATGTACAGCTCATGATGACGCTCATGTTTGCTGAAGCACATGTCGATCATGCTTATCGGAATTTCATTCCATGTGACCATCTGAATGGACGCTGCAATATCATTTTGGCAATAAAAAAAAAATTGGACTATATATTGAAAAGTATCGTCGGTTGGCGGCATTGTACTACGTTGCTGACACAAAACCGATTTGTGTCATCCACACATTATATATCTTTGCGTAAAAGAAAAAAACGAACAATGAAGAATCAAAACATTGACACCATAAATATAAGTGGATGGATGACGGTGATAAGTCGATTGGATGCACGTCACTGAGACGTAAAAAGAAAGGTGTATTACAAAAATGTTGATAATTTATTATTTAGGTGAGAGACAGAGAATCTATGGTGAAAAGCCCCCATTTTAATGGGATCGCGAGAGATAAAAAAAATGGGGGACAGAACTATTGAATCATATTAAATAGCAATAAAAACGGCTTATCGCGCGCTTGTCTCAAATAAAAACAATGAAGAAATCTAAAAAACTGTGTGTACTTTGTATGCCAACCCAGCGTTTGCCAAGACAAAATGAAAGCAAAAACAACAATAATAAAATCGATGTGACAAAAGTCAATTCAGAGAATATGCTTACGTATGGTGATGTCTTATTATGATTTTTTTTTTATCTCTCGCGGTTTTGCTTGCGACAAACGATTCTTCTCGATTCTTATCTCATGCGGCAAAAATAAACAAAATTGTTTTGATTTGGCGGTGTGTGCGCTCCCGAACACTTTGCTAACTTTTTGGATGGCAGCGATCAAGTGGCTTTGTGAATAATTTTCATAAACAACATACAAAATTCACACTCACTCACACACACACATTCATACAAACGGATAAACCATAAAATTATTAATTTCCGTTTATGGTTTTAATTGATCCAGGGGCCGCGTGTTTATATAAGATTTATCTAATTTCTCAGAAATACAACGAATCCAACGAATTTAGGTTGTGCATTAAGATCGATTTTCTGCATGAAATTCGCGTGTATTTTGGTGTCATCACAAACAAATCGTGAATGCAAAAAATTGCCAAACTTGAAATAGGCAAAAAACAACAACATTTTTGTGTGTCAAAAACGAAGGACTCTGAAATTAATCGTAATCGTTTGTCAATCGATTTTGCACAAATTTAGTGACTTCAATCTAGATTTGATGTACAGAAAAAATTGCCACAAACATTCTCCGCCCCGCTTTCTGTCACACATATGCATTTCCTCTCTTCATGGAACTGAGTTCGCTGCGTTTCAATAAAAAAAATTCTCATACACTTTTAACAAACATTTGGAAATATTCTTTGTCATTTTCCAATTTCAAATTGTGTGACCAATTGTCTCTGAATTTAACTTTGAATTTTATCCACTCTTGCTTATTACATAACTAATATCTATTTTCTCAGAATCAGAATTGAGCCTTTATTTTATTTTCTCTTGTCACTCTTGCTATGTATATATTTTCCCTCGTTGACTTTCTCTCCAATACGAAATAATTTAAATTCCGATTAATCATGAAAAAAAAACCACACAACTCTTACTTTTACAAAAATAAACCGAAAATTTTTATTCTATACCGTTGCGTTTAAATTCACTTGTGATTCGCCAAGGCAGCTAAAAAAATCCTTCAGAATATATATTCGCCTGCACCACGATTTGATGGTGTCGTTCAAAACTTTTTCGGTGAAAAACAAACGCAATCTCTTTCTCACTCACGAGTTAATGTGTAGTGTATGTGTATATATGTGTTACACAAAAAAATGTATTGTGCAATTACCTGAGAGCTGTCAAAATTGGCATTCACCAAGTCGAATGAGTCAGTTTGACACAATATAAATACGAAATTATGTACACACTTTTTAAAAAAAAGGTCCAATTATTTTGTCATCGATTTTTCTTTGAAGTGAATTGATGTTTTTCTTTTCTCATTCGCTTCCAATTAGTTTTATGATAAAACTTTTATCATTAAAATATGTACACCCGGATGGGCGCGATCTTGTCTTTATGTATTGACACACAGATGGCGACAGCTTCATTTTCTATTCGGTTAAACTGCAAATGGATAATGTAATGCAGATTTCATATGTTAATTTGAATGTTTGCAAAAACATTTTCAAATTTTTAATTTATAAAAAAGAACTTGTGAAATTTCGCAGAATGAATGCATTTTTAAATTTAGACATAAAAACATGCTATTTTGCATTCTGTAAAGAGAAGGCTTGTTCGATTCGGTTTTTCTGATCGAAGAACCAGTCTCGATTTTCTTCGTCACTCTTTTGCTCACTTTCGTTTTTCGCGCTCGCAACGAATTGAATTTGACGTCATCGATTTAGTGTGTGTCATCGATGTTTGTAAGAAGTAATTGTGATTTTGCTCAATGTCGATGAGCAGATGTTCAAGACTTATCTTATTGAGCCTTATGCATTGAGCCATTTCAAGTGTCTTGAAAAATGTCTCTAATCAATGAAGCGAGCAACAAAAAAATAAAATTCAAGGAATATGCGACATTTTACATCGCTGACATTATTTTTGGGTTGTAATAATATATATTTTATCATAATTGTATTTCCATGCGATCACGTCCTAGCACACTTGCAAAATTGATGTAAATTAGAGAACAAAAAACGTAAATACTGAATGATTAAAATAAAAAACAGACACACAGACGGCGATAATTCATTTGTCAATTGTCATTTGGAAATCCATCGCATACAAAAGAAAAGAGTATATTTAATAATGTTTGTTGTTAGCATTCACTTTATATCGCATACACTCTCTCATGTGTGCTAAATAGCAAAGAGAAAACCGACGACTGATGATGCCATTTAAGTTATAAATCCGACCGATTATTCAATACCGAGCGAAAAGTGTGTCAGGCCTATTGGCGGCCCGTGTAACAAATAATTTACGTGTGTAAATTTGAAGGAGAAAGAGAGATGCACTTGGTACAATTTCCATGAAATCATTTTGTTACGTAATGGAAACGGCATCTATGCCACACTATATACACATACTGTGTACCGATAGAAACACTCTCTCATTGCAATGTACACGAGAATATATCAAATCATCATCAAGCCATTGATGTTGGTGGTTGTGAAGGCGGCAGCGACGGCAGTAGCGTTTTAAATAACGATAGACCGATATGAATAGAGCGAGAGAAAACCCGATACATAAAATGTGCATATACACTCGTAATGCAATTTACAATGCTGCTGCTGCTGCTGCTGCTATATCTCAATGTCTACGGTTGTATCGGTAGTGCGCGCGCGGTGGGGCGCTGAATGTAATGAATGAAACCATATTTAAAAAAAGTTGGATAATGCAAGTGATATTGTGCATGGTATACAATGTCGGAATGAATGAACATGGCACACAGAATTAAATGCTGCAATAGATGTGAGATATAGAGACGACCGTGTGTAAAAGCAAAAAAAAAAAAACAAACAGAAGCAGCCATAGCAGTAAAAACCAGTGAAAAACAATAGCAACAACAACAATGACGGACTAATGCCGAACATATAAATTTGCACGAGTAAACGAGACGCATAGTTGGTGTTCGATGTTGACCTAGTTTTTTGGTTTCATGTATGTAGGAAGCGGTACACGAAAGCGCAACCGAATAAATAAATAAAAGAACCTAGACACATCACCCCAATTAACGTATAGTTGTTTTTTCTCTCTAACTCTCTCGCTCTTCCTTTGTTGCTGATGCATATGTATGTATTATTTAATGTTTGGTGTGCGTGGTGCTTGTTTTTGGAACGACTATGCGCGTGTAACAAGACAGGCATTCACACCGTGTTTGTAATCACAATCAATATCGATGACACATGTCGCCGTTTGTCTTCACCACTCTCCTCTTTTCCGGTGCACATATTTTTACTTCTTTTCCCTTTTTTCTAAATAAATATTCTTTTGAATAATTCAAAGTAACTCCAATGTTTAATGTTTTTTTTTTTTTTTATGACCTGACGAACGTCGGTTTTCCTTTTCAACTTTATCATTCGTTCTAACTCTGTCTCTTTCTTGTATTTCAGTTTTTTTTACGAAATGTGACTATTTGGGTGCTCTAAATTTAAACCAAAACACAACAGCGGCACAAAATCGCGCGCCAGTATTCTTACTTAGACACAATCAGCCGTATTTCATATGAGGTATAAATAGAGACAGAGCAATGAGAAAACATGCATACTGGTAACGATATACCGATGTAAAAAAACCATACACAACCAACAACGTTAATAAATAGCCAAATGTGAGAATGACACACATTTTTCATATTTTCAGGTCGACATCGGCGTCGTCGTCGTCGTCGTCGGCATGCATGTCTGATAGTTGAATCAGTCAGTATGAATGCGATTGCAAATTTAAAAGATATTTGATGGAATTTTTTTTTAAATGACCTGCTAAATAAATAATGATTCGCGCTAGTACATTGGTCATTGCCAAAATAGCGAGAGAAAAAAATGGAAACAATAAAGTACGTATGAAAATACAGAATGACACAAAGAGTATGATGCAAGTCAACATTTATTCGCCTCCAAGTTTTGGGACGCCTCCGACGTTTACGACGCCATCATCATCATCAATATTGCTGTTGTCGTCTCCGTGGTTGTTGGGCTCCATCGTTGTGACGGTTACCAATTGTAATGGCATTCTTTCAATATTCATTTCGTGCCTGGAATCAAAAGGTGTTCACAATATGTTCCAAATAAACAATTTCTACTCAAAATGTTTGTGTTTTTTTTAGTTTAATTTTTCAATTTTTATTTAGTCTCTTTATTCATTTAAATTACTAGACACGCCGTGACCATTGTTTTATCAAAACCCAATAATGGTTGTAATTTCATGTTATTAATTACATATATCTTTGTTGTTGTTGTTAAAGTCAAATTTATTTATTTTTTTCAATGTTTTTTTGTATTGTTATTTCGAATCTTCTTTAGTTCCGGCAAATAAATTCTCAATATCTTACTCTTTATACAATGACCATATTCAGGATAGAGAAGAAAAACACGCCTCTGTCTCCTTAAATTTGTCTTAAATTTCAACTTCACATTATTATTTTTTTATTTTATTTTTATTTTATTTTTGCTTCTCTCCCCTTTTTTTATTCCATTTAATTCAATAAATAGTTGCGTCCTCATATATTCATTATATAAAGATAGGTTTAACATTATCTTTGTATTGGTTTAGTCAGTTTCAGTGATCAGCGATCGCAGTATATGCAGTATATATGTATTATATTTTATTGAGTGTTTCATTATCATTCTTTCTCATTTTAATTATAATTTTGTTGTTTATATCTTTCTTTCTCATTTCAGTGTGTTGGTATGTGTGTTTGTTTGTTTATTATGCGAAAGTAACTTGTAATTGCGTTCTAATTGTTAAACTGCCTAAATATGTGTGGTCTGTGCTTTCTTCTTATTTTTTTTTCTCTCGTCCTGCAAAATGCAGATAAGCTGCGCCTGAATAACCTGAATTGTTTCATTTATTTATTTTTTCATTCTCTCTGTATCAATCCATTAAAAGCAAACAGAAATGAAATGTCCACATGGAAATATAATTTTGCGTTTGTTTTGTTTTTTTTTGTTGTGTTTTTGTTTGATGGCTCTCTCTTTCGTCTTGTTTCATTTTTTCTTCCTCTTCTGCAATTAATATATATATATATATTCTGGATATGAAAAGTCTACTATATTCCCATTGTCATTCAATATACTTGCTAATTAATTCCCCAGACGAATGACTAAGAAGTTTTATTTGGATACCTGTTTATTTTTATACACATGAATAAACAGTTTAATTATCTCCGAAACGAAAAACAAAAAAAAAGGCGAAAACAATTAGCTTGCTTTTATTTTCATTTGTCTATTTGATTTGGTTTGATTTGTTATTTGAAGATGTCATTTCGGTTATTTCGGTGCCTTTTCAACGAGACAAAACAAAAAAACGAAACAATATGTGTCTATGTTTATTGCAAATATTGCTATAGAACCATAAAACAATGAAGAAGAAAGTAAAATTAAACTAATCGACAAAAAAAAAACGAATTTCGGTTCGGTTTCTCGGTTGTTGCTATATCATTTGAACTAATAGCACTGAATGTATATGAGCTATTCTTGTTTCATATGTTTTGTGTTTATTTTGTACGCGTGCAAAACGAGCCACAAAACACATTTTGAGTCTCCTCTAATATCCAATGCTGGTGAGTTCATTTTGTTTGGAATTTTTTTTGTTTTTATTTTGTCTGCATTAATATTTTTCACTTCTTATTTTTTTTGTTAAATTATTTTGTTGTATTTACTAAATAGAATTCAGTCAGGATTTGTATGTTTGTCTACATATGTTCTAGTGTATGTGTGAGAGCTACCACGAAATTGGAGCTGCATTATATAATGTATATATAGTATATTTTACTTTCAACACGAACACAAAACCGCATTTATGCACACACACACACGATGCACATTTTTTTCTTCTTCTCTCGTTATAATTACAATGATAAATATATTCGGTTAAGATAATCTCCAAAAAACCACATAAACAAGGCAAAAGGAAAAATAATATTTTATTGGCTATTATAATTGAAAAATTTTCAAAAAAAAAAATAATAATCAGAAAATAGAAAACAAATCACTCGCAACGAACTCAAATCGATTTGCGATTTTTTTCTTTGCAATAAAGAAAAAGAAATATTTTTTTAAGGCAGAAAAACGTATACGAAAAATAATAAAATTTCATCAGTTGCATGTCAACATTGAATATGCAAAAGATGAACGAGGCTGAGCGAAAAGAAAATATACAAACGCTCGATTTTCCAAACAAAAAAAATCTAAACACGACCCGCGATACAGGTTAGAGTCTTTTTCTTCTATTTTTTTTAATTCATTTTTTACCCTGTTTCTATATTAAAAAAAAAAACTCAAACTAAATATATCGTACAATTAATGTAAAAGGAAAAAAAACAATAAACAAAAAAGAAATACCTAACAAAAAAGGGGCTAATTTCTATTAAATAATTAAGAATTTAATTTACTTTGTTTTGTTGTTCCTGTAATAAATTATTTTAGTTACTAATTTCATACCTTTCATACCTAACACCATCGTCTTAGCAAGTTGCAACTTGCAATAGACCTTATTTTTTATGCGTATGCCACAGCTTTTGCTCATACATCTATTTCCATTTATGTTTACAATTAAATTTCTTCTGTTTTTTTTAACAAATAAATAATAAATAATTTAAATTATTGGATGGTTTTTCTCTCATTTTGTTTGTAAAGTGCTAGCTGTGTATATGTGTGTGTATGAATTTTCATGTTGTCTCAATTGTTTCTTCCAGTCAATTGATTTTCTCCGTTCTGATTACCTACATAATTATCAATATTCTATGCTCAATATTTGTTGTTGTTGTATTCTTCAAATATTATATTATTCATTAAATATCCACACTACTCATATATTTATGTGTGTGTGCTTTGTTTTGTCTTGCTTATGCATTAAATTGATCGAATCGAAACACGTCGAAACTCATCGAAAAATGTTTCAATCAAATGGGATAAACTTTTCAAAATAAAAAATGTTAATATCCCTGAACACACGCAATATTCACACGTTTACATCCTATCGATCACAAATTCATTCATTTAAATTCACACACATTTTACTATTCGTTCATTCAACCCCCACTCTCCTTCCATTATTATTATATTCACGCGCACATCAACCCAACACATTTCCACTCACTTCTGTTGTTTTTTTTGTTGCTTCCAATAAATTTGTTTAATTTTTTTAAATATTTTTTTTCTATTTTCGTTTTAAATTTTAATTCCGTAACTATCTAAGTGTTTTTCTTTTATCTAGCCTAAGTTCAGTTAGTTTTTCTATCATTTTTTCCGCCATTTTGTTTAGTTTTTCATTTAAATAAATGTTAATATGTGCGAATACTGGGTTGATTGAAGATGATGACCAGCTTTCGTGACGATGTCATGCCCGAATCTATGTATATCACTTAATTTTTTTTTGTTGCTTACAAATTGTTTAGTGTCCACCGGACAAGCATCCCTTACAAAACAAATTCGCAACAAACATACATTTACTTTTTTTCTGTTCTCTAAATAGCTCGTTTTTTGTTACTCAAATTCTGCATTATGACGAATTAACGAAATATTTACGGCATATGCTCTGTATTGCCTGACACCATTCCAATGCATAGCCCTCTGGATCTTCCAAATAGTATGTTCGATTTGGCTGTTAGTGACATAAATGCAAAAGAAACAAAAATTGAGTATTAAATAAATGTCATAATAATAAAATGTGCATTTGAAATGAATCTTGATCGATACAAGAACATACCGTATGTACGAAAAATATTTTAAAATTTTTCGCTTCACTTTGAAGTTCTTTGCTCATGGGTATTTCGCCTTTTTTCACCATTTGCACCGGATCAATGTAGATGAGGCGCGGTCCGGTTGTTAGCAACAGCATGCGTTTGCGTGCAAACAATCCTTTGCGCTTGTTGACAAATCCTTGTTTAATGATAACTTCACCATCGGCGAATTGCTGCCATTTGTTATCGTCCTTTTGAACGGTCACCACGGTTGTTGCCGTTGTTGATGATGTTGTTGTTGCGGTTGTTGTTGTTGTTGAGGAGGTTGTTGTCGTTTGTTGCTCAATTTCTGCAAATAAACAGAGCAATCAATATTTTATTGTTGTTGTTGTTGTTGTTTAAATGTGTACTGTATCGGTCTTTTGCCTTTCATTTTCATTGTCATTGCATTTTGTTTGGTTTGCTTGTAATATTTATTCGTGATTGTTTTTTTTAAATTCTTTTTAGTTTTCTGTTGTGCACTGATGTGATAAACTTTTGGTTTATATGTTGTATGATTGGCGCCAACAGATGATGAAACCCAAACGAAATAGCAATAAAACAATGTAATAGTGAAATGTGAATTAAACATACATCGAGAGATGTGTATCATACCTTTAGGCTGTGGTGGTTGTGGTGGTGGTGGTGATGGTTGTTGTTGCTGTTGTTGTCTATGATTGGATGAATTCGATGTGCCCAATTCAAGTTCAAGCAGTCTTCGGAGTTGCTCTTCGCCAAGTCCTGGTTCAAGATGTTCAGGTACTTTATATTCAACAGTCTCTTCGCCATCAAGCCCCGGTAAATATGGATGTATTGGTGGCGGTGTTTGTAATCGTATCTTTTCCCATGTGATACCATCGAAAAATTCATGTCGTCGTATACTTTCGTATAGGTCATTTTGATCTTTTGCACCAAGTCGTTTGATCGGCTCAATTTGGATAAGGCGTTGCACTAAGTCTTTTGCAAGTTTATTAAATCCATCGGGAAAGTTTAAGTCACGTTCCAATATCTTTTGAAATATCAAATACTCGCTGCCCGCCCGAAACGGTGGCAAACCGGAGATCATTTGATAAATAATACAGCCCAATGCCCATAGATCGGCTGCTTTGGTTAATTGTTCACCTTTTAGAATTTCGGGTGATACATAGTGTGCCGTACCAACAAAACTATTGGTACGTCGACGAGATTCAAGATCCGATTCACCATTACGTTCGTCTAAAATGCGAGCCGAACCAAAGTCCGCAATAAGCGTATGCATATTCTCATCCAATAGGATATTTTCGGGTTTTAGATCACGATGAACGATACCCTTGCGATGCATGTGTTCAATGGCCAAAATCAATTCGGCCGCATAAAATTGCGTACATGCAAAATCAAATGAACCAACTTTATTGATGTACGGCAATAGATCACCATTTTTGGCCAACGTCATGACAAAATATAAATTTCTGGTATCTTGGAACGTGCATAATAGGCTCACAAAACCCGGTGTATTACTCAGCGTGTGCATTACTTCGCGTTCACGTTTCACATATCGCTCCTTTTTTTCACGTATTATCAACTGTTTTTCGCACACTTTAACTGTATCAGAACGAAAGAAGAAAAGAAAAAAAAACACATAAAATAAAAACCAATTGAGATACGAGAAAGAGAGATAGAGTAAAAGAAAAATGAGCGTTGTCATTATTTTGAAATTTCATCAAATTAAGACGCAGCCAATGTGAATTAAAATGAATGATACACTTGTATTACGCAATCAACTTACTTGCTACTTCCTTTTTCGAGTGAATATCCTGAGCAATGTAGACACTTGAAAAGCTTCCCTCGCCAATGGTTTTGCCAAAGCGATAATCGTTTGCTGTTCGTCGGGCTGTACGTGCATTATTACTGTTGTTGATGGCATTGTCTGTTGCTGTTGACGTTGGTGTTGGTGTTGGTGTTGGTGTTGTTGTTGCTGTTGTCGGTGACACTGATAATGTTGTGGTTGATGAAGGGATGCTATTCATGTTGGTTGTAAGTTGTGACGAATTATTTGAATGTTGCGATTGTTGCTGTTGTGGCCGTGATTGATCATTCAACGAAGGGTTTGACATACTGTTCGCATTTGGTGTTGTATTATTTGAATTGATGCTATCAACGACGGTTGTCGTGGAACATGTCGCTTCGTTAACCATTGTTGCCTGTAATTTGGTCATCTGTGATGGCAATAATTCTATATTTGGTGAAATGATTTGTGTGGTTGGCAATAAATTTATAGCGTCGCGTTGGTTTAATGTCGATCGAATCTCTGGATTTGTTACACTTGGCTGTTGTATCAATCCAGATTTATCTTGCATGGCTAGCATCGGCTTCCGTTGAAACAGTCTTTTCCACCAAATTTTTTCTATCACCTATTTAATGTCACAAGTGACGGAAAGGAAGAAAAAAGAGAAAGAAGAAAAAAAACCGATTAGTGGAATTACTTGAATCAGTCGTTATCATTATTAATGTTGTTATTTTATTAAATGAATCATTTTTTCGAAGAATTTTTCGACCACTTGTTTTTGATCGATGTAAATATTTTCGATGAATTCATTCACATGAATACTCGTAATTTCTTAACGAATTCGTTAGAATATGTATTCAATTATAAGGGAAGTGCGAGTAGGAATCTCAAGTAGTATTCAAATGAGTCAATTATTAATTGACTCAAATGTTATCTTAATTTTTCTGTTGAAAAACTATTTAAATTTTTTTCCCTTCGCACTTCAACCAATGAACTTCGCTAAAAAGAAATTCAACTTTGTTAAGACCAACGAAAATTAATCAGCTATTTTCACAGAAAAATTAAATGCGAATAACAACAGTAAAAAAACACTAACGAATATAACTTCTATTACACAATAAACACGAATATATGAACGTATATACGGGGAGAGCGTACAACAATCAAAACAAAAACAAATTGTGTGATTTCACAGAGCGAATTGTGTGTGTTCGGGAGAAAAGTGATGAGTCGACTCGGAGAATCAACAGTCGAAAATCGAATGGCTGCAGTTCTGAGTAAATCGTTTCGATCAATTCACACCGAAATGAGCAACGCACACTGTTCAGATAAACAGAGAGCGAGAGCGAGCAAAATGGGGAGAGGGAACTAGAGCAAGAGAGAAAAAGCAAGAGAAATACACTGAGAATTGGATCGTGCTATCGTGTTGCAACGAATGACTACGCAAAGACAATATTTTTTTTGCATTTGACTTTAAGCTGCGCTATTTGAAAATGAGGATATGTGTGAGTCACATAAAATGACGAGAATAGTGTTTCAATGGAAATACTGTTCTTTTGGCTACATTTGCTCAAATATATCCGAATGGAGAGACATATATTACGTATGTTGAGTCTTTTTTTAACGAACAAAAAAAAATGCTGCCTTCGTTTTCTTGTTTCTTTTCATTCGGCATTGTGACTGAGCGTGCATGACTGAACGAGACTCTATGTGAATTGCAGAAAGTCAAAACTTCCCACAAGTCAAGAAAAAAAAACAATAACAACAACAGCAACAACAACCAAGTAAATAAACAAGGAAAAATGCAACAAACAATAACAGGCACACCGAACGTCAAGAGAAAGACGGATCCAATATGATGAGAGCGAGAGAATGAGTAAGCGAATTGAGTGAAATGACGAAAACATCACGCAGTAAACAGCACATACAAAATACACATGACCAAAACAACAAGTACACGCTCGCTGCACACACTCTCGTATAATATAAAAGTATGACCATAGTTCCGAATGTATACAGAAAGAAAGAGAAAGAGAGTGAATGTATGTAATAGAATATAAATTGTGTGCACATGTTTTGCGATGATGATGATGATGATGACGACAACGATGACGATGACGTTAGAAACGAAGCCAGAAAACCCAAAACGATAGTGAGACCGAGATAAATTGTGCCACAAATGAATTAGTTTGAGCGAAAAATGAGACAAAAATTGAAAAGACGACGCATATAGTAAGAATGTGTGAACCAGAGCGATTCAGAGATGGTGGGGACGACGAGGGCGAGAGCAAAAGAGCTTTTTGCATTGAAAAATAAACAACAATTCTATTGAATTCTATTGAACTTCTAATGCTATTACTGTTTGCCTCTTTCTGTTTATTTATGCTATTTGTTTTGTCTTTTCTCTGAATGAATATTGTTCGAGGCCTTTCTCTCTCTCTCTCTCTCTCCCTCTCTATCTTTCTCTTTTCGATCATTTATGAGTGTGTGCTCGTTTTCAATTTGTAATCACCGATATTCTTCGTATTCAGTTATCGACGCTGGGGTTCGAGCGAAGCTGTTATTGTTTTTGTTATTGTCGTTGTTTAAAATCCACCCCCACTTTGTGTCTTTTGTTCAATTCTGTTTTTCCTGGATTGACGTCGAACGTCGGTATATCCAAAGTTCGTATTAAATGCTGTCTTCTTGTCTATTTCACAATATGGCCCAATTTGCCAAACATATGTGTGCAGCATGTGCGCGTGTGTGTGTTGTTTGGACGTGTGTTTTCGACGATGGTCGTTGTCGTCGTTTTTATAATTCTTGTGCGCTCTGTCCCTCACTCCTGAAACTCACAACCAATCTGTCATTTTTACTGATTTATTTGCTTTGGAATTACATGCACCAAAGATGGTTCGTTGTGTGTATGACTTTCTAGGCGAGAGAGTTTGAATTTTAAGTCTCACAAGAGAACGAACAAGCGCAAGTGACTGCGAGAAGAGTTGAAATAACTCTATTGGATACAATGAGTGCAAAGTCCGTTGGGAATTTACAATTGTTATTTTTTTATTATTATTATTGTTTTTATTACGAATGCAGCTATTTCATTCATGTTGACTTATAACATTGCGCTTTTTGCACATACAATTTTCGATTCGTACCATTTTGGCTGGAATGTATAAGATATAATCACATTTTCTAGCAATACACATTAAAAACAAAACATGAATAAATAACTTTCGCAATAATGACGTTGGTCTACGCAGGAACCACTCATAACGAGAACTCAATTGTAAAACGAACTTCAAATCGTTTTTTTTTTTTTTTGTAAAAATGAATTAATGGGCTGTTCGAAGGGAGTTTTTATTCTCGATCTATTGGATCCTTATTATTTCTTCGACATATCAATTTATTTTAGCCCCATGAGGGATCTACATTATTTGGAATTTGACATTTATAAATAAAAATCATATTTTTACTATAATTGTAGATGGTTTATATCAGCGAAAGATATAATAAGGATTTGTTTTTTTTTATCTGTATAAAGGTGCAATTAAAATGAAAAATAAAGCTTGAACGCAATAATAATAATAATAATAACCATTTTTGTTGACGTTGTTGTAATCGTATGCGTTCCAATTTGATTTTACTATGTACACAACATTGGACGAAATATACACGATATATAGATATAAATTAAAAACAAAACACAATAAATATTAAATTCGCTCTCAAAAACACTATCAAACTAGAAAAATCGCACGAACGGTTAATTGAACGAACAAAAAAAAACCGGACCGAATAAGCGCGTGAGACATAAACACAACGGAAAAATAATAATCAACACAAAAAAATGTACACAAATCAAATGAAGTTACTACTATAAATGCGCGCGCGAAACAACTTCGTCGTCTGCACTCTATCTATCGTCGAGAACACAACAAAGACAACAGTGAAACGAAGAAAAAAGAACAACTCATATAACTCTTTTTTCGAAGCGTTTCGAATTTGCACTAAACGCTCATTTGCACAGCATCCGAACAAGAAGCCGTTAATTTTATTATAACGTATTTGTTTTATTTTTGTCTATTTCGTTATTGTCTCACTCGTTCTCTCTCTTTCTATCTACATTGCTGTGTGTGGTGTTGTGTGTGCCTTTTTGTGTTATTCCTTCGTCTTCGAATTTTGTTCGCATATATCGGAGGAGGAAATCTTCAAAGGGAAGCAAACACTGTCTCCTTCTACTTTGTCGTCTTTTTTTTCATTTTTTTCTTTGTCACACATATTTATTTGCATTTATGCCCATGTAACAGCATTCGGTTTTTAATTACACATACACTCTTTCTCTCACATCAAATAAACGTAGCCGAAACAATGACACAACGAAATATTGTCTCTTTTTTCATTTTTTTTTTCTTTCTTTCTGGCTCTCTGATGTACTTCGTCTTCAAATTTCTCTCTCTCTCTCTCTGTATTTCCTTTGTTGTTTTTTATTACTATTGTTTTTACTCCATTTTTATCATTTCTTATAGCTTGGGCTATATTATTTTGGAAGTTTGTCCCTCTCCTTTTCTCTTTTCATTTTTGCTTTAAATAATTTCGAGTAAAAATGAGCAAATGCACGCTGTTCTACTATAAACAGTTTGTGAGTTTGTTTTTGTTTTTCACCACTCTCATCACACTCTCTTGTTCTGTGGTTGGTTTACGTTTGATAGTCAAGAGCGCGCGCTACATCAAACGTGCACTGTGAGTATTGACTCCATCTAGTTTTATGAGCACAACATTGTGTGTTTATACACATACACATATATAAAACTTAAAATGTGATTGTGACTTTCTTGCACTTTTCTGGATCAATTTCAAACAAACGTATAACTTGAGCGCGCACAAATACATGAAATACCACGCGACATACAGCTTGTACAATGTACATTCAGAAATGCATATTATATACATAGAATTCAGTCGGTGATGTGAGTGCACGCATACATGCCAATACCGAAAACCAAAACATAACGAATCCCACGATAATAAAACGAAGCACAGCAAAAAAAGCGCATAACGAAACTTGAGAAGTGGTAAAACCGTACTTGGAAAACATAAGACGAAATTTACATGAAGAAGACGAAAAATGAATACCGTTTCGTTGGGTTGCTTTGTTTATGGCCAATGGTATTGTGCATGTGTAGCGTGAGAGAGAAAAGAGAGTACCGAGAGCGCGAAAACCAAGAGTTATGTATTGAATTTATACTCTTTTTTTCTTCTTCTTCTTCTTTTTAGTTAATGTGTATTTGTTTGTTTGCAATTTTGCCATGCAGAGACAGACATAGACGGAGTAAAAGAGCTAACAAACGTACAAAGCATGTGAATTGATGTTTTCAAGACAGAGAGAAATTCAAGTGTGGCATACGGTGTGCATGTTTTCAATGTGCAAAAGAGCATATTCCCTATTTTTATGCGATATTTGTTGTTGTTGCTGCTGCTGCTGCTATTGCTTCTCATTTCCTATATATGTGTTTGTATATGTATGAATGTGTGAGTTTGTTTGTTTGTTTTTTTCTGTTATTTTTTTGTGTCCTCCATTGAATGTGCACACGGTAAAACTAGACATTTATATTGCAAAAACATACAAATGTGATATTGAAA